TATATATATATATATATATATATATAAATAAATAATACAATTTTTCTCTCTCCTGTATTGACCAAATGTTTCTGTCACTGTTTTTGTACCAAACAGTCTGTAGTACCGTTCCTCTGGTTTAGGAGTGTTACGTGGTCTGGCCTGGTTTTGTTTTGTTTGGTACTCAGTCAGATGGACAGATGGATAAAAACCTCCTTCCACGTTGACATGGTCAGGGAAGGATGGGAGTATAAAGAAGCCTGGTTACTGGTGTTACTATTTACCCTCCTCCTACCCCCACACCCCTGACAAAGAAAACATTTCTCCAGTCTGTCAGCAGGATCCACACACACTGAGTAGGATCAACACAAGGGTGTTTTTGACCCTCAGACCATCCGTAGCTGTTAGACTTCCACGAGTCACAAGGTCAGAGCAGGTACATCAGCTGTTACAGACACAAATGGTCAAGTTACTGTTGGAACTTTTGGTTCTACAGAGACAGGACCTACGACCACTGATTTGAGGACAGTTTAAACAGTGTTGATGTCTCAGTGTGGACGTCTCGGTGTGGACATCTCAGTGTTGATGTCTCAGTGTGGGCGTCTCAGTGTTGATGTCTCAGTGTGGGCGTCTCAGTGTTGATGTCTCAGTGTGGACGTCTCCGTGTTGATGTCTCAGTGTGGGCGTCTCAGTGTTGATGTCTCAGTGTGGACGGCTCAGTGTGGACATCTCAGTGTGGGCGTCTCAGTGTTGATGTCTCAGTGTGGACGACTCAGTGTGGACGTCTCGGTGTGGACATCTCAGTTTGGACGTCTCAGTGTGGACGGCTCAGTGTGGACATCTCAGTTTGGACGTCTCAGTGTGGTCGTCTCAGTGTTGATGTCTCAGTGTGGACGACTCAGTGTGGACGTCTCCGTGTTGATGTCTCAGTGTGGGCGTCTCAGTGTTGATGTCTCAGTGTGGACGTCTCGGTGTGGACATCTCAGTCTCAGTGTTGACATTTCAGAGACAGTTATCGCTGAGACGTCAACACTGTTCAAACATAAGTCAGTTCACAGGAGTACCATAAAAATGGTTCTTGACCCTGTGTTCTGTTGTCAAGAGTCCACTTCAAGGCTGCGGTCTCTCTCTCTCTCTTGTGATCATGATCCTGAGCTGCTGGGTGACCCCCACCCTCACCCACAGCACCGGACACCACCGGACTGCCGACACACCAGGGCTGAAGGGCTCAGTGAAAACAGATCTGAGAGCAGAGCTGGGCTCTGAGTCCAGACTGGAGTGGGCTGTTGAGTGAGGTCGTTTGTTCTGCTCTGCTTCTCTCAGCAGGGTGACGTCTCCACTGCAGTACAGACGGCACCATCTGGACCTGACACCCACTGACTGAGACTCAAATGTGCTGCGCAGCCATCAGGTTCAGGACCTTGAGTGTTTCCTGAAATGCCTAATTTAAATACCTAAAATAAGTGCAGCTCACACAGACAACCACCAGAGCTGCTGTTGTGAATGGATCCTGACAGTCAGCCTGTCAGCTGGGAAGACCAGGCTCCTCCTCCAACCAGTGATGTCTGGTTACATTTTCCTGTTCTTGCAGACTGATCTAAAAAACCCCACTGAGACCTGATCTGTTCTCCTTCTGGACCCTAATCCAGATCCAAGTCTAACCAGAGACCCCAGAGTGGGGCTGATTCAGTTGGATTTGTCTGATCTGCTCAGTGAGCTTCTGTCCAGACAGCTACAAGATTCTGGACTCTTCTTTCTTTACAGGTTAAAGAAGATTTTATTGATCCGTCTGGGTTTGTATCAGCAGAGTGGTCAGAAACATGACAGAATAAAAAAACAACAGGATCTCTGTGACGACAGCGGAACAGTCCATGCATCTGTCCTTCATTTGTTTTAATCATCAACTCTCAACCCTCCCTTTCACCCTCCCCCCCTCCCCCCCATGCCCCTCCCCAACATGTGCAGATGAAACTGTGGAACAAGTATAAGATCACCAGTATTCCATCCCTGGTGTTTGTGGACGCAGCGTCTGGAAAGGTGGTCTGTCGGAACGGTCTGCTGGTAGTCAGAGATGACCCCAAAGGTAAGACCACGCCCTTGTTTACTTTCTACACCCCCAGGGCTACACTTCATTGCACTTGTCCCTCCTTTTTACATCTTGAAACCCCCAGTCAGTTTCAGGGACATGCTCCATGTCCTGTTACAATCATCATTTCCTCAGATATTGGATCAGATAACTGAATAAACAAGTAACAGGTTCATGTTAGAGGCTGTAGAGAGCAGTGGTTTTGGAGTCATCTGAATACTCAGCAGCAGGATTCAAACACAGCCTCATTCAATAGTTCTGATTTGACTTCAGCCTCCAACACCTGCAGCTCCACCTTAAGACAAACAGCAGCCTAAGGAGAAGGAATTTCCCCTGAAGCAACATCAACATAAATGAATAACAACCTGTAATAATAACCCAGTGATAGACTGTAATAACAGGTTAGTCTTCATACATACACACATCCTGCTAATAGTTTTTTGCCTGTGGAAAATCATCAGTCAAGTTGTTGCTTTGAGGTAGTGACACACCATTTGCTGATATACTGTATATACATGTGTACAGTATATGTATACATATATCTGTGTGTGTTTATACATATACAGTATATATACACAGAAATATATATAGATTATATACATATATGTGTATATATGTACTGTACATATGTGTGTGTGTGTGTATAGTAAATATAACATAAAATAATAAAACATATAAAGTGTACACAAAAAACACACAGTTGTGCAGTAACTATTATCCACTAAGCTGGTTAATAATGAGTGGGGGAAACTCTGTGCTTCCATTCTGTCCACATCTGCCCTCAGACCACAGTAGTGGCAGCAGCCAGAGGAGACAGAGTCCAGGCAGGACTGGAGAAAACCATCATGAAAACCTCAAGTAGAGACAGAGGATTCAGACTGAGAAACACAACAGTCTTTTTCATTTGCTGTATTTCCATTTTTCACTTTCTGTCTGAAGAATGAGTGGAGGTGCAGTGGGGCAGAGTGGAGGTGGCTTTATTCTCGTGAATAACACAGTGTGAGGTCGGTTCCTTCTGTGAGTCAGCGGTGACACTGGTGCAGTGCTCTTTTGTTGAACTGACTGTTAAAGTGCACTCCATGGCTAAGGCTCCAGGCTGTTCCACTATCACTCAAGTCCAAGTCCTTTCATAAACGCTGAAAGGCAGAGGCAGCGGAGGCTGTCCTCCACCCTCCAAGTGTTTATGGGTGGAGGACAAGTATGGCTGTTTTATCTTTTCTGCTGAGCCTGTGTTTACAGTCCTGCACTGAGCCACAGCAGAGCGTTCACACAGACCTGATTCAAGAAAATTCAGCGTTTAAACGGAGCTGCTTTCACACCATTCTTTTATTGTGTGGTGTTGAGCAGAGGTGAGAGGTTACAGAGAGGCGGGGCTGACTGGCTTGAAAGGTTACGTAGCTAACCTGCAGTGCCAGAGTTTTCACAACCTCAAAACTCCGGATTCGTCTAAACACAAGTCTGAAACGGCACTATAGGTCTAGGATGTGTACCGTAGTCGTACTGTCACTGTGTAAACACCACTTGAGCCACAGCACCACACTGAGCCCAGTCACTAGAGGAGAACATCACACCTGTAGGTGTGTGTTCTTAGTTTCATAAGTGGTGTAGACGTTTGAAGCCCATGAACGACAGGGTTGTTGATCAAACACCTGCTCTGCTGCTGCCATGTGTCATAGACGATTACAGGCACAGGAGAAATGCTGTTGTGTGTAGCAGTATATAAAAAGACCTACTGTTGCAGCATAGCACAGTACCACAGTACACCATCAGTACCTGTACAGGTCCAGGTGATCGACTGTTGTCTTTATTATCCACTCTCCCTCTCTCCTCCAGGTCTGGAGTTTCCATGGGGGCCGAAGCCGTTTGCAGAGGTGGTGACTGGGCCCCTGCTCAGGAACAACAGACAGACCACAGACAGCAGCTCCCTGGAGGGACACTACGTGGGGGTGTACTTCTCAGCTCACTGGGTGAGTGAAGAACGGAGATGGACCCTAGTTCATGCTTCTGTACTTTCTGTTTGTGCAAAGAAGCAGAGTGAGCAGAAGGGGGCGCTGCATATTATATCATAATATATATATTGACTGTCTGTCATTGTCTCTGTCAGTGTCCTCCGTGTCGCAGTTTGACCAGGGTCTTGGTGGAATCATATCGAACTGTGAAAGAGTCGGGACAGAAATTTGAGATTGTATTTGTCAGCGCTGACAGGTGATGACAGGCACTGATTCAGAACTGCACTTCTTTAATGACTCACTCACACACACATACACAAATATACACACACATCACCGACAACAATAACTCACAACGTTGTTGCACTCCTCTTTTTATCAATTTGATTCTTAGTCTACCTTTTTTGCAGTACTGTAATAGCCCATCAGAGGGCTCCACCTCACACTTGTAATCCCGATGGTCTTACTGTTTTCCTGCCCTGCAGGTCGGAGGACTCTTTTAAACAGTACTTCAGTGAGATGCCGTGGTTGGCTGTTCCATATTCAGATGAAGCCCGCAGATCACGACTCAACAGACTCTACGGAATACAAGGTGTGTCGCTGGCTCCGCCTCTTCCTGTTTTCATTAACAGTGAATCAAATTGTTGCCCTTGGGTGTTTTGTTAAACCGGTCTTCTAATGTTCAACCTCATCAGCACGGTTCTACCTTCTCTCTAGTAGCACATGGCTGAAACATGCTAACAGGCTAAATGCTGCTAAGTGTCTGCAGCAGCTCCTCTCTTCCTGCTCTACTTTCTGCTCCACCTTTTCCTACTGCTCCTCACCCCCTCCTGCTTTTTTCCAGGCATCCCCACACTGATCCTCTTGGACACGGAGGGTCATGTGATCACGCGGCAGGGCCGGGTTGAGGTTCTGAACGACCCGGAGTGTCACCACTTTCCCTGGCATCCCCGACCAGTTATGGAGCTCAGCGAGTCCAACGCTGTGCAGCTGCACGAGGGGCCCTGTCTCGTCCTGTTTGTGGGTGAGTGGAGGGGTGAGGCACTGGGATTTGACGTCCAAGTCTCCAGTGTTATCTCTGTGTCTGAAGGTTATCCTTCATCCAGGTCAGCCTGTGATGCAGAACCTGGATGAAGGAGAACCCTGTCTCATAGTTTAGATTTCTGTTCACCTTCATCCTGACGTCCATCAGTTATGAATACACATCGAGCTCAAAGCTCTATGGCATAACAGAGGCTTCATCTACAGTTTGGTTTATTATTTTCAAAAATAAATTAGAGAAAATTATTGATTTTAGCTGAGACCAAAGTCTATAAACAAAAAAGAGATTTTAGCTCACATCTTATCATTGTCTCCACACTGATTGGTTCAGATGCTGAGGAGGAGGGAGAACTGGAACCAGCCAAGGAGCTGATTCGACCAATTGCAGAAAAGCTCTTGGCAAAATACAAAGCCAAAGAGGAGGAGACGCCGCTGCTCTTCTTTGTGGCTGGAGAGGTGAGATATTGTTTTAGTGATGATGTCTTTTGGATCACCGTGACCCAGGTGACCTTGTCTGGGCTGATGACAACTGACCTGAGCCTGAGGAGAAAATGTGTTTTGCAACATTTTCCAGGTCTCAAAATTTAAACTATGTTTTCATTATATCCATTAAAGCAGTGGTTCCCAAACTAAGGTAAGTGTGCACTTGGTTGCAATTGGGCTCCATCAATTGGTACATGGAAGAATCGTCGTTCGATACAGTGTTTTTGTCTGATAAATAGTAATAAATTCTCCTCTTTATTCACTGATCTTATCTGACCAGTGTAAGAGTTTGATGTTGTATTTAATGTTGCTCAGACGGCTGGAACTGAGAGAACAGTCTGTTGGTGGTACTATTTGTATTGGAGTGTTTTTTTTAACTAAATTAGATTCAAAGTTGGATTTGATTTGAAGAAACTGTCTCTGCGGGATCAGAGATCAGTTTCACAACACTAAATATAATGCAGCTGAGAAGACCCAAAGATTCTGGATTTCATCTGGAGTCACCAGCAGCAACTCTCACTTTCTGGCTTTATTATCACTAGCCACGGCGCCCCCTGCAGTCTATTTTCCAAATTGTTCTCCTGAGTGTGTATGAAAATCCACAAAATAAAGAAAATAGGACTGAATTTTAAATACAAATCATCTGACTGATTAGCCTTAACTGGAAGAATAGCTATACAAAATACAATGGTAAATTATAATTAGCCTATAATGTACTAAAGAGATCAAAGAAGGGAAATAACCAGTAGAGTTTAGTCCAAATATTAGCCCAGGCAGTTAGCCCTCATATAGCCAAAGTAGTTCAATGTAAGCCTAAACTGTTAGCTAATTGTTTATATTTTTCCTTTCTGCAGGATGACATGAGCGACTCTCTGAGAGATTACACCAACCTGCCAGAGGCAGCGCCACTGCTCACCATTCTGGACATGTCGGCTCGTGCCAAGTACGTGCGCGATGTGGAGGAGATCACGCCGGCCGTGGTGGAGCAGTTTGTTGGTGACTTCCTAGGTGAGAAGCTCAAACCAGAGCCCATCTGACCTGGACACCTCCCCACCCCCAGCTCTCCAAAAGAAAATGAAAGAAAAAAAAGACTTGCCAATATTCTGGGATTCGCTGTCATTGCACCCTGTAGCTCCGCCCTCTGTGAGCAGCCAATCAGAGGGGTCCCTTACCTTTACTGACTTCTTTTTTTACACCCCACCCCTCTCTCTCTGGTGCCTTGCATTGACTTTAGTCCCTACAGTAATATATAAATGAAGAGTTTCTTTCTGGCCTCGAGAAATGTATTTGTATTTTTTTCACACAGTAGTATTTCTAAAGATAAGTAGAAAAACAGAATTTAGAGAATTTACCAAACGGACCTGCTAGTCAACACGTCATTCACCATTTCATTCACCCTGTTGTTCACCATGTGCTTCACCCCGTCGTTCACCTTGTCATTCACCACATCATTCACGTTTAAGTAAGAGGATTCGAAAACACATGGTTTCCTGTCACATGATAGTGGCGTTGTTTGACCTCTTCTCCAGTCAGCTGTTTCTGGATTGGGTTTGTTCCTCGTCGAGCGTCACCGTGAGGATTTCCAGGCACCGTCCTTTGATCAAAAGGTCATGTTTTACCTGAGGACACGCTCATATTGTGTGACAACGGGAAAATATGTTGAATGTAAAAAAATTCCTTTTATTCACTTCTGTCTGACACATTTACTGAAAAAAGGAAAATCACTAAAGTTCTACTCCTGTCACTCTGTCAATAAAGTTTGTGCTTGGATGTTTAGAAGAGTGGAGATGTCTGGCAGTGTTGACTTCTGTACACTCACACATTTACACAGTGGGCGTCAGCAGTAAGCATGGCTTCAAGGAAAATGTCAAGAAAAATAAGATTAGAACCAAATCCAAGAATGAGCTGGAAATAAGACAAAAAGTTGTTTGTCCCATCATGAAACAATGTGGTTAGCAAAATTACAACAACGACAAAAAGAATGACCTATGAAGAGTGTACGTACAGTAGAGTACAACACAGGGCTATAGGTTTAGGTGAGTTCTATGTATAAGTATTTATTTTGTAAACATAAACATAAAAAACAGACATTTAATTTGATACCACAGCAGAAATGTTTGGTGACACAGCCTCAGTTCTTCATATTCCACTGTTCTACTTTGTCTGCTGTCGTTCACAGACGTTCTAGTCAGAAGAAACTAGAAGAGAGTCTTCAGAGAACCCACAGTATTATTTATGTTGACAGATCAATCAGCTGTGGGTCTGCCCATGTGCCCATGCATTTGGTGCTTTTTACTTACAGCAACAAAAGACACACCAGCATGAAGTTTGACCAGGACTTTTATGATCTACTGAAGACAGATGTTTTACAGAGAAATGGACAACAGGAGTTTCACTCACACTGAGAAGAACCTCATGAAGACTGGACCCCAGCTCTGCTCGTCCGTTTCTTCACAGATGTTTGAGTGTCACTGAGCAGCTGTTTCCTGCCTTCAAACAGGAGGATGCTGGCAGCCATGGCTGAGTTCAAGCTGTCCACGTCAGGCGCCACAGGGATATAGAGCCGTCGCCCATCCGTCTGCTCAGCCAACTCCACCGACTCCAGACTGAGGCCGTGAGTCTCACCCCCCACCACCAGTGCTGTGGGTTTCTGGGCCCAGTTCTCGTAGTAGAGTTTTGGTGCCACCCTGGGCAAGGAGAGTCCCTGCACTTCATCTTCTGACTCTGACTCTGAGTCAGACGCTGATTGGTCATCGTTTCTGTAACTCCGCCTGGTGCTCACCCAGCCGTAGTCTCCTGCTTTAGCTGATTTGTGCGACGTGTTAATGTCAGTTTCAGGGGGTGTGTCTCTGCTGCAGCTGTTGTCGGCCACGTGCACAGTCACATGTTCAGGGAGATGTTCTCTAATGTTCTGCCAGTCCACATTTGTGTAGACAGGAAGTCGGAAATGAGCTCCCATGGCTGCACGGAGAACTTTAGGCTCCCAGGCATCGACACAACCTGTATGTAAAAATGACACAGATGTAATGTCTCTGCACACCATAAATATGTAGATGATTTTTTCTCTTGGGATAGACACTTCCTGTCTTACCTTTGGTGAGCAGGACACGGTGGCATCCAGCTGCAGCAGCACATCTCAGCATGGTACCCAGGTTCCCTGGGTCCCTGATGTTGTCACATATGAGTGTCAGTGGCACCGAGTGAGGAGCACCAGAGAACTTTAACCTGGAGGGTTGTGGACGGGAAAATATGGCTGTGGAGAAAAAGAATAGTCATTAGTGGGTCCACATGAGATCCATAGAAGGAGATGGGGGCCTAAAAGTACAGAAACACTGCAGCAGGTCAGAGGATGTCAGCTGAGGGGGCGGTCTTCAAATGTGTTCAAATGAGGTTTTTGTAATTAGGACATCACACATACACACACACCTATATGGTGAGTGAGGACAGCCCTCACAGCAGACGTTAACATGTTTGAAAATATATATATATATATATATATCAAGTATTGCCATTCAGCAAAAGAATATTGAAATTATACTTATATTCAATACAGCCCAGTCCTAAAATGAAACCTACCACTCACCTATCACTCCTTGTGGAGCGACAACATCAGACCAGATCTTGATTTCCTCAAACTTCACTTTGACCAGTGTTGCTCTCTTCAGCTTGTCCAGGGGCAGTTCTCTCAGCCGATCTACCATACTGAAGAAAACCATCTGTGGGTTTGCACCGGCGTCCAGTGCGTCGCAGATCAAGCGTTGACCCTCCAACAGGATCTTACCCTGCTGTTCTCGGAATGTCCTGGAACGAGCGACGCTCACCAACCTCCTGAAGATACGAAAGAAGAAAGAGTAGCTGTGGTTGGACTGACTGGACCGACATGGGCTGCAACACTTGAACGACAGATATTTTTTGGTTCCAGTGGTAAAATATATTAGTAGCAAATTCAAAAGGCCTAAATGCAAGAAAATAAAGGCAACTTTTAAGTTTTAACAGCTGAAGCATTGATATTGTACATATTTTATTTGTCTGAAAAATATATTTGATTGAACTTCAGATCTTTCTAACGATTAACATTTCCAACATATTTGGTTGTATTAATAATTCTTTAACAGCATTAGATGAAATCCTTAAGTCAAGATGGTTGGATCTGATGGTTATGATTACCAAACAATTTTTAACGTTTTGTGAAGTAACAAAAAGTGTAACAAGTTTTTTATGGCATATTACTAACGTATGTTTTTAATGTCTGCATTGTCGGTTCAAGAAACATAAAACCTATTGGAATGCCTTTTAAAATTCTGACATATATATGTAACTGTTTATTTAATGTAATGTTTGCCGTCACATCGTGACGTAATAGATGGCGTCATAAGTACTTACGCCAGTCTCTTATCTCCAGGGGAAGCTTTCTCAAAGCAGAGTCCTTCAGGCCCATGGTTAGAACCAGAACTTAGGGCATATTTCACTGAGTTTTCTTGGGTTCTTTCCTTGGGGGCAGAGGTCTCTTCTCTCCAAGAACGTGTTTCTTTTTCAGCGGATGAAGATAAAACCTTAGGTTCCGCTCTCCTCTCCTTTGACTTCCGCTCAACCACAGACTTGGACTGGTTTCTGGTCGTTTCTGCTTCTTTTTCGGGAAACAGAACTCGAATCGGTTTTCTCCTGAGTGCCCGAACGGAACGTATCTGTTCCACACTGTAAACCACACAGTTCCGTCTTAGGAATACGTTTTTTGTTGTAAGAAGAAGACGAAACGCAGGACTCATGTGCACCGCCATGTTTCTTTTCTTTTCTTTTCTGACAGTTTTTGGTGGTCTTCACGCTTTCAAGGACATAGTGCTGCCACCTAGTGTAATTTGTCTTGTATATGACAGTCATTTTAGTTAGATCAAAACAAATAAACATGTTTCTTTAATTCAGTGTGGAATTGAGATTTTCCATGAACAAACAAATCTAGTCGTCAGTTAGTAAAATGTTTTCATGTGTGAACATCATAGTTTTGAACATCTTGGTTTTTTTTATTTTCATGTCATTTTTATTTTATATTCTTTTTTAAGTGAACCATTGACATTCAACATCTTTATTAATAATAATATAAACATTTACACGTTAATGGCGTTTTAATTCATATACAGTCAAACGTCAACACGCTCCTGGTCTTTGGACTCGTTATATAAAGTTCAAGTGAACTCTAACCTTTTGGATCAGTTCAATGTAATCCTACGCTACTTTGAGCTAGATTTCTACTGAAAGGTGTCCTTGTTTACCGAGTGCTGTTTTAACTCACTATATTGACTACTGACTATTTTAAACGAGTTTTTTTGAATGCACGTGGCAGGTGATGTACGGACGTCTTCATAGTATTTACAAATAAAAAAACATTGTTTATTGCTAACGGCACAATAAGCACTGGTTATGTTTCAGATCTAATCACCGTAGCCAGGTACACATTGGTTGTTGAGAAAAAAACGTGACACATTTGCTTCGCTCCTTTATTCTATACAAATGAACATATATATACATCGCATCTATAAAAATAAAAGCGGCATGCAACTGATAGTTAACTGTTAAAAAGACTAAGATAAACGTGTGTTAACGTCGACTACAGATAAGTCGTTCACACAGGACGTTTAATCGCTGGCTGCACAGTCGATCGTGAGCTCTGACAGGAGTAATGGCTGCTTTAAGACGAGCTCTGCATTTTGTTTTCAAAGTTGGAGACAGAAAGAAAACAGCAGTCTTTTACAGAGATGTACTGGGCATGACGGTTTGTGTTTTTACTGTTGTCAAATGTTAAACGTGTGGCCTTTTATTGATGTGAAATTATTTCAACTGATCTCCATTCACTTCTATTCATCTCTGAATATTTTAGGTGTTACGACATGAAGAGTTTGAAGAAGGCTGCAAGGCAACCTGTAATGGGTGCGGGATGGACTTCTTTTATATGCACTCACACTATAATACACTCACACAGCTGTTTTGGCAATCACATTATTACATTATTTTATTCGACTGTTATACATATACTGTTAATATAAATAAGCAGGTCGGATATTGTCTTTGTCCTGGGTTAATGTATCTGCCAACAGGTACAACAACACTGGTGTTCTCAATCTGAAAAACTGTCTTTGCCCTGGTTCTGCACAGACCTTATGATGGAAAATGGAGTAAGACCATGGTAGGATTTGGACCAGAGGAGGATCATTTTGTTGCAGAACTGACCTACAATTATGGGGTTGGAGAATATAACCTGGGTAATGACTTTCTGGTGAGTGAAATTTGTGATGATTCACTGATTTTCTTTTTCTTCATTACTGACACTATGGTGCTTGTGTGTACATGTATGTGTGTGTGTGTGTTTCAGGGCATGACTCTGCAGTCCAGTGCAGCTGTCAGTAATGCCAAACATCTGAACTGGCCTCTGACTCAGATCTCAGAGTCTCTGTACCTGGTTCAGGCTCCAGGAGGTTATCACTTCTACCTGTTGGATGAAGAGCAGCCTACTCACGGTAAGTGTCCCACTGTATACACACTGTATAATCTAATTTGATCTAATCTAATCTACATCTCTGTCACATCACAAATGCATTTAATTGTCTGCCAGTTGAAGGTTTAACTGTATATTGAACAATTCCAACAGAGAAGTTTATAGGTAAATAATTACCTGCTATAGCAGTCATTCAGATTTGTGTTTTAAGAAAAGTAATGTAGTTAAGTTTTTCTTTGCTGACTAGTATCTGTTTTTGCAGTACTTTGGTAAAAGAAAGGCTGTTGAATAGCTGTGCAGTGAACACTTGTCATGTCTGTGAACCAGATCCAGTGCAGAAAATCAGTCTCGGAGTGTCGGACCTCCAGAGGTCCATTCACTACTGGACAAATCTTCTGGGGATGAAAGTGATGGAGAGAGACGAGGAGAAGAAGACGGTGCTAATGGGATTCACACACACACAAGTCAGTCACCAATAGAGAAAGGGATGGTGTGTGTGAGTGTGTGTTGTACTGACTCCACATCTGTTTTACTATGTTTGTGTGCAGTGTAAGCTTGAGCTCCAGGATATTGGTGGGACTGTAGATCATGGGACAGCGTTTGGAAGGATTGCCTTCTCATGTCCACGAGAGCAGGTAAATGAAGAGAAGGAAGTGTCGTATCTGAATATGTCCTTCAGATCAGATTTGTTTCCCTAAAAGTAAAGAAGTCTTTCGGATTTTTGTAAGAAAAACAACAAGCAGTCATGAGAAAATAGATTAAATCCAGCCCTAAATATTTAAAATATAATAAGGCAAATGTTGCTAAAAGCAAAACATACACTAAACAAGCTACAATAAAACTATGTATAAATTCAGCCAAACTTTAACTAGAAAACCAAAAGTAATATAATCAATGTATAAATAGGCAATGGCCGGTTATATCCATCCATCCATCCATTTTCATCCGCTTATCCGTTACCGGGTCATGGGGGCTCGGGGATTCGGGTGGCGGTCTCCACGACGCTGGTTATAATTATATCAAAACAAAAAGGCAAAGTATAACATTACAACAGCTAAAAGATATAAGCTGCACAGGCAAGTAAGTCTGAGACTAAGTTTAGAATTAAGATGGAGCTTTAATTCAGTTTAAGTTTAAATGTGGAACATGAAAGATATAAACATTACAGATGACGTACTGTTTACTGTGACTGTCCTTCTCTTTTCTCAGCTTCCAGACATCCAGGCCTTGATGAATAAGGAGAAGCAGACGGTTCTGACTCCTCTGGTCAGTCTGGACACTCCGGGAAAAGCCACAGTAGAGGTGGTCATTTTGGCTGACCCTGTAAGAACTTGTTTTTTAATGTTTTTACAAAAATATAAAAAAGGTGCTATAGTATTATGAGTATTTTTCCTATTTTCAGGATGGTCACGAGATTTGTTTTGTGGGAGATGAGGCCTTTAGGCAGCTGTCCACCATAGACCCTAAAGGAAACCAACTCCTGGACAAGGTGTGTGTGTTGTTATTGACAATCACCAGCACTGCTGTAATAGTTTCTAATCCTTAAAGGTCATTTGAGATTTTTTGTATTTCATCGTTTAGTTGATGGGATTATTATTAAGTGTTCAGTCAACAATAATAATTAATTATAATTAATCATGATAAATAAGTATTCCTAAGCATGACAAAAATCTCTTTTATTATATATATATATATATATATATATTTCTTAAAGAGAATGATTCATAACAGCAGTAAGATGTCTGTATTTCAATGTTTTTTGTGGAATTATTAATATAGAAAATCAATCAAATTTACCATCAGAGTTGGTGGATTTTATTCTTTACTGTTGACAGTGTCATTAATAATAATAATAATAATAATAATAATAATACACTTTAAACTAACTCTTTGACACTATTGACACTAATGAGTAATTTGTCCAAATGTAATCAACTCTGTGTTCTTTCATTGTCGATTTCTAATTGTCTCTTTTTCAGGCGATGTCTGAGGATAAAAGTGATGAGTGGTTTGCCAAACACAGCAGACAAAAAGCTGCAGCCTGACAAAGATGTTGACCATCAACACTGCCCCTCTGATCACCTGTAGATGACAATGATGAAGATGCTGAACTTCACTGATAATCAAACATTTCATACACTGTAGAACCTACAGTGTCACAAACACATTCCTGGTGGTTGAAAATGAGTTGGCATTACTCTTAATAAAAAACTCATGTATTCTGTTTTTGCCTTGATTGATTGTATTTGTGTCATACAGGTTTAATTTTAAACTGTGTTTTTAACATCCATCTAAGAAGGTTTTAGCTATACTTTTAGCTTGTTTGGACAGTATTTTGCATTAGTATATTTAACCTAAACCACTAAAATATTTTAAATGAATACCCTTTCCTTGTTTTTCTTTTTCTGTATTCTATCAGCTATTTTGGGGGTAAATTTAAGCTGTTTCTGCTAAATGAAAGGTTATCCAACTTTTTCTTTCTCTTTCATTACCATACCCAGTCAGTTTATATTTCCACGGAAGCCTTTGATCTTAATGTATAAATGTTAATGAGAGAAATGTCTGAGAGACCAGTATTTATTTAATATTTAAGTTAAAGTTGGTGTCATTTGTTTTTACCTACTGTCCTTTATTTCAATACAGTTTTCCCCTCGACTCTGTGTGAGCTGCAGGGGAGGGGCATTTAGCACAAAGCTAAGTGTCAGCTTTAAAAAAAAACTGCCCCTGCCCTGTTTTTATTTATGTTGTTTAGTGAAGACACGCGGCTGTAAATGTGTAAAATGTCGGGGTAAGTGATTTCTGAACGAAATACTTTAATAATCTTTGAGAGGCTTTCTATATAGAAGTAAAGTGACCAAGTTAGCGCAAACTCACAGCCTACTGAAGATGTTTGTGGTAAAGCTAAGGAATCAGTTGGCTCTCAATGCAAGTGATTTGCTGTGTTGGTTAAAAATTAAATGAGTTAAAGTTAAAAACACCGACTGTTACGGTAGCTTCTTGTTAAACGTATCATTAGGTCTAAGTGCTGCTTTGGAAAAAAACGAAGAATCCAACAAGCAAAGCTGTTAGCATCTGACAGCTAGCACAGCTACAGTAGCTGTTAGTGACAGGTTGCTTCATTCCTAGCTAACATTTTAGCTGTGTTGTAAAATATATATGGATGACACTTTGCTACGTTGTGAACAACATTTCATGCTACGTTTCACTCTGTCATGTTCACCGTTCAAATACAAAAGACCGGTTCGTTTTATTGCCCATTTTATCTTATTAAAAGTGCTAAAGAACAACTAAAGCTGTTAGTAATCTTTTAGTTAACTTGGCTAGTTAGCTCTAATGCCACCTTGGCGTTTCTTTGGCTGTTTGATTAAACAACCCCATGTCTGAGCAGCTCTGACAGGTTTCCACTGGTGTCCACAGGTATTTTAAGCCCAGGGTAGATTCACTTTAGTACATATTGCACTGGCTTTATCAGCTTTTGGTCGGTTGTTAACATTTGATGATTTTATAGGATAATATATAACTATATGTAGTTGTCTGACTGTAGCTTGTTTCGTTCAACCTGTCCCTTTGTCAAGCAGCTTCAACTTCACCATAGTATGTCATCAACTCACTACAGGTCCAAACCATGATCAGCTTCATTCCCATTACTTTATCTCTGCACTGCTGGTTTAACTGAGCTGCTCAGTTCTCAGCCTGGTGGCCACTGAAGAACATCTCAGCATCTTTATCTCAGCTTTCAGACAGTGACACTGACGTGTGTCATTGTCTGTGCCCATTTTCTACTTCTTTTTTTTTTTTTTTTACCAGTGCATGCTTCTCTTCCTCTTCTGTAAACAGCAGCAGCTGATAGAGGACCAGCCAGATCCCTGTCCAGGATTTGGGTGTAGACAGATCAGGACACAATGGCTCTGCTGCTAGTTTCCTTCCTCCTCCTGCTGCTGCTGGGGATTCTCCTGTTTGGTTTTATTTTCAGGTAAAAACATTCACTGTGTGTATCTTGTTGAAGCTGTGTGTTCACACTCTAACACGTGTACTGTCTAACACGTCAGGTGGATCATCTGCACCCTGGCCGTGCGCTTTTTTCAGACCGTACTCAACACTGATCTTAAGATCAAGTCAGTGGGTTTTTTCTCTGTCAGCGGAGTCAGTTTACAGTTTCACCCACAGCAGACTCTGGTAGGTGTCACTGGTACATTTAATTTTTGAAAGCATAATCAAAAATTTGTATGGAGAAGATTAGCAATTCATTGGTAAACTATACAAGCAAATTAAGATGATTTACTGTATGAAGAGAAAACATTTTCACTAAAATGATTTTCCTTCCAGTGTCTCAGATGTGCATCTGCCACTCAGATATAAACAATTAATTGTTTCCACAGGAAATTGATAGAATATGGATTTCAAGTAAACTTCTCAACCAGGAGCTGCCGTAAGTTGACTTGTTTTTTTAACTCAGTTGCAGCAGTTAATAAATAAGTGTTGTGTAATAAATAATTGTGTGTATATATATATATATATATATATATATGTTCTGCATATAATGTAAAGTATGTTTATAAATAAATACTTTTGAAAAAAAAATTATGTTATACTCTGCCATAAAATAATAAAACAAAACAATAATAATATTAACAGCAACAATAATAATAATGTCACATTTTGGATACAATAAATACACCATGTAAACATTTTAGGGAACTTATGACAGGCAACTCGTGCTGCACAGTTTCATTCTTATTTTCATTCTTGTTCATCTTTTGTTTTGATGTTGGTGTTATACAGATAGATCTACGAAGTAAAGTACATGTACACTAGAACAACTTATTAACAGTTTTAAGATAGCAGAATGTATCTTACATGAAAATTTTACGAAACCATCCCTACTACAAACAAGAGTGATGGTCTGATACATCAGTATAGCTGCCCGGGTTTATATGCAGAATGTTGTATCTCTGTGTCTGATGAGGTCACAAAGCGTTCATTTCTCAGTTGTTAGAGTTTGTGTTTGTGTTGTGTTTGTGTGTTTCAGGAGATACTTGGCCTTGTGTGTCGGTGACACCAGAGTCCGATTTGACCTCCAAGCACCACTGACTCCTCTGCAATCAAGGCGCATTAGTCATGAGAAAAAAGCCGGGGGTATTTTACTCAGCCCCAGGATGTTACGGTTTCTCTCCCAGGTAGAAGTCATTTCCGGGTGATATCTGCTCATCTAGACTCTTCTGCTTACCTCTTAGTCTGTGTACTTGTCCATTTCAGCTGCTTTCGTTCCATCTCAGTTCCATCAGTGTGATGGTTGTGAACCTGGCTCTGACGGAGTCTCTGTGGCACATGACCCTGGCAGGGATCACCCTGTTACTGGACCACCAGAGTAAAAGGTAACAGTTAATTTTTTCTACCTGTGGTCCACCGACTGTCTGAAACACTGGTTGTTTACAAATTTTTTTTTTTTTTAAGGATGTGTTGGAACTTCTCTGTGGGACAGCTGAGCAGTAAAGTGTTGAAAAGCAGCCAACTGGTGAGTTCTGACAATGGTAGTGAGAGACTTAGAATGAATTATATAGAATGAAGCACTCTTACCTGTGTATTGAATACAGCTTTAATGGTGTATTTAGCACCACCTAAAGACCAGGAAAGAGAGCTACATGCTCAAAACACGGGATTAAAATATGTGAAAGAAAATACAAACTACACCTTTGGTGAATTCAGGTGTCATGACCCACAAATATGAAGACTAGCTTTAGCCTTCCTTTAGTCCATAACAAAGATAACACCACAGAACCGTATTTCATATATACCTATATATTACTGCGTCTTTTATTGGTGTTGTTGTCCACTGGCACTGGTTTAATGAGTGTCAATGTGTCCTCAGAGACCTGGACCTGGACCAAACAGTGGCTTTAAACCTGATAGTCCTCATTTTATACCACACTAGTGCCTGTGTGTGATGGAAATGTCTGTCTTCTACCATAGGACATCTGTTTGGCTGAAGTGGCTCTGAGTCTGCTGCTGTCTGGAGATGTGAGTCTTCCAGACATGAAGCCTGGTTCTTTGAGTCTCAGTGTCAGGACACTCACTGCAGAGCTGCATGAAGGTCTTTTCCTCAGCAAACTCCTGCTTCCTGTGTCTGCATCACAGACAGTTGACGGTGACACAGGTGAGGAAGTGCAGCACATCATAGAATGTCGTAGAACAGAATCTTTTGTGGCAGTGAATCCAGATCCTGAAACTATCTATGGTTTAGAATCCTTTTAAAGTTTGAGTTGTATGTCCTTCAGCTTCTTGTAAGAGAAACAGGATATGGTGTCAATGTCATGTCTTTAAAACAAAGATTTTCTTACTGTTGCCTGACGCCCAGTCCTGCTGTACTGTACACATGTACTGTGTGGTAGAATGTACAAACACTTGACAGGTCTGTGACAGCATAAAGGGAAACAAAAGTGAATGGTGAAGGAGGTGAACATTTGACTTTTCATTAGATCACATCAGGAGGGAGGAGTGAAATTCAATTCAGTTCTAAGTTTGGTTAGATTTACTCTTTTTTTACCTCTTGGTTTGCGGTGTGTTCATCTTTACAGAGCTCCACCATGGCTAACATACAAGTACGTAGGGTTTTAATGTTTTTTTATTTCTAATTGCAGGAAAAGAAGACTGTCCAGAGTTTGTCCAGACTGAGACTGTGGAACAGTTTCATCATCTGATTCCACATGATGTCAGTGTGGCATTAGAAAACACAAATGTGACTCTGTCCATACACAGCCAGAAAAGGTATGTCACTCTTTCTCATCTTTCTCTAGACTTCTTGATTCACTCTTACCAGAACACCCTGGTTCTCCTCTGTCTCACAGACACCTGAACTGGACACTGAAGTCTTTAAAGGTCTCATATGGACGTGAGGACGAGCAACCTCCTCTGAAAAGCTTCACTCCAGAGCTGAGTTTTCCTCAGAGCAGCCTGGAAGTTCTCCTGGAGGGTGAGTGGATTTCTGATGACAAGACATTGTGAGGCCAACTATGTCTGAATAATATATTTTTTCTCAAACATTTGGCAGATGGACTTCTTTTGTCTCAGAGCAGACAGAGGATCCTGTGTGTGAACACCCTGAAGACGTCCCTACAGGTGAAGATGAGGTTCTACTGTCAGAGCTTCTTACTGTGACACTCGTTATTCTAACCATTTAGTGGTTTCATTTGAAGGTGACATCCATGGACATCTCAGGGGCTGTCATCATCAGCACCTGCATCCTTCACTACCGTCACCAGGAATTCTCTCCCTGGCTGAACCTGTTCCCATGGGAACAGTTGATCCACAGAAAGGCAGTGCACAAGAAAAGGTAGGTTAAAAAAGACACCTTTGTCTAAAAGTCTTCTTTTCATTAAAACAGTACTTAAAATTCATATTAGGATAAAATTTGATTTATTAAACAAAAACCTCCAAAAAATAATATTTCATCATCTTCTCTTCTATGTTTTGGTGTGTGTGTGTGATTTTCCTTTTATTCTTTACATGACTCATGTTTTGTTGTTGTGTTATTGTTGTGTTATGGTGTTTTTTTTGTGTAATGTAGTCCACTCGATTATTTTCCCATCATCATTTTCCTCAGGCGTCTCCCACACCTAGACGCTCCAGTGATGATGACATCTTCTGTGTCCAACATTAACGTGTCTGTTCAGCTGGGAGACACCACACCTTTTGCCCTGGGTCTCCTGTCTGCCAGTGCAGGTACTGCAGCTCTTTCCACTTTCTGCAAACATGTTCCCTCACAGAACAGTAGGTAAATGTCATGTGACTGAGGAGTATATCTGTTAAAATATAACGACATCAGTGTTGTAGTTGATTTACCATCAACACAGCACTGCAGCTCAGCAAAGGGTTGTGGTTAGAATAACACAGGACCAGGAAAGCTGCTGTGTTACACACTCTTCTCTAGAGCTCCAGTGACAATCTGTCTGTTTCTCTCTGTCTGTCTCTGTCTCTGTCTTTGTGTAGAACTCCAGCATCTTCCTGACATCAAAGCTGAGAGTCCAGAGTCTCAGAATGTTCACCAGCGAGCATCTTTGTCCCTGGACAACTTCTGGTGGAGGGTGGGTCAAGGTTCTCATATCCAACAAGCTCCTCACCCTCCTGGTAAACACGTGTGGGGAGAAGCTCTCGTCTTAGACTCTCTTAGTCTTCAGGTAGGAAATCTCCAAAAATAGAACGTGTTCAGAAATTCTTCAGTTTCAGACTGTGACCTTTTGAGATATATTTCTGTGTCTGTACCTCAGGGGAGCTTCAACCATCCTCACACAGACCTGAGCAGCCACTCTCCCAGTCTGAGTGTGGAGTGTGGACTGAAAGGACTTCAGCTGGAGCTCTCAGAGACCTGTGCTTTGTGTCTCTCTCGTCTGCTGTCTCTCATCTGTGTTCCTGCAGGTCCTCATGCACAACTGCCAGCAGCAGCTGCAGTGACTCCCTCTGCTGGTGAACATGTTCACAGCTATGCCTCCTCACAACCTCACCTGTTGTTAAAGTTGGACTGCAGCCTGGAGGAGGTGAATGTGTTCACTCTCTCTAACGTGGCAGGTGAGACGTTAATCACTGATGCTGATACCACGTGTGTTGAAGAACAAGGTTGAAATCAGGTTGACTTTATCTTTAACTTGTTTTTTTTTTTTTAAGGAGCTATGTCTTTGCGAACGGACACTGTCAGAGTCTTGAGTTCTGCAGAGAGCTCCGCCGTGTCTCTAGGGGGCGTTAGCTTGTCTGTGGTCAAAGTGATTGCAGACAATATGGAAACATGCTGTCCTGCCTCCCAGACTCCTAACCCTGTCCTCACACTGACATCCTTGGCCTTTACCTACCATCTCATTACACACACCTTCCAGGTAATGAACCTTTGGTCCTAATTCAGGCACTCATTGTTTTTTAGTCCTGACCAGAGTAATCTATTTAATACTTGTTAACACTTGTTCCCAGTAGTCACTACTCGCATGTCGTTCTTACTCAGACCCAGTGTGATAATGAGCTTGCTGTTGAGTGGACGCCTTCCAATCACATGGTCCTGTATCAGCACGTGAGTGAAGCACAGGCATGTTGGCAAATGCTGTGTGGAGGGAACGGTGTGGAGGATCCGGTCACAGCTGCAGCGCCCATACCTGCGTCAGGTCACAGCAGAACTCTCTGTATCCGTGTTGAACTGGGTTCCACTCGTTTGACTGCTCATGTTAGTGAGAAGAACTTTATTGTATTGCACACTGAAGGCCTCTCCATCTCCAAACACGTTGGCTCCATGCACATGCGCTCTCCATCACTTGTCTTCAACTTTGATGGCTACAACATTGTGACCTTTAAAGATGTGGAGGTGGAGACCCTTGAGGAGCTGGCTGAGATGAAGCTTCACAGAGACACTTTCTCCTTCCTCCTCACTCCTCACAACAGAGTTTGGCTCCTCAACTGTCCTTTACTCTTAGTGGAGTTCCCTTACCAGTACAATTTCTCCAACACCTTTGACAAAGCCATTAGTGTGCAGAAGTGGCTGAAGACCCTCCATCGCCCCCGGAGCCTGAGCTCCACCCACCCACGTTTGCCCCCTGACCTGATCTGTAAAGTCAGTCAGTTCTCTTTTGTTTTCTTGGACGATGTCTTTGAAATCAAGCTGCGTGACAACTACGAGCTCATGAAGGATGAGAGTAAGGAGAGCGCCAAACGCTTGCAGCTCCTGAACAAGAAGGTGGCAGATCTGCGCAAACAGCACGGAGAGCTGCTGCCTGCCAGGAAGATCGAGGAGCTCTACAGTTCACTGGAGAAAAAACACATTGAAATCTACATCCAACGCTCACGCCGTCTCTATGCAAACACGCCCATGAGAAAGTCTCTGCTGACCTGGACTGTTTCAGACCTGGAGTTGGTGGCAATGGCTGATGAGACTCTCCATGGTCCCGACAGGGTTCGAGAGCAGCTCAGGGACATTGATGGGATCAGTCCGTTTCCCAGAGAAGGACTCTCTCTGGTGATCCAGTGGTGCCGGGCAGTCAAGTTTAAACTGGCTGCTTTTCTGGGTAAGTCGGGGGAAAAACTGTGTATAGATTTTAGTAGAACCACTGTTTGATGAACCCAAACATTTATACAAAAAGATTGTGCTCCACTTAAAGTCTGGGCAACAGGGCTGTCCCCACCAAACTCTCTTCAACAAAGACACCCGCTTACTCTTTTCCATCTTATCGCTTGAAATAGTTCAGTCAGTAGTTGAGGTTCAGTCTTATCGTAATCGCTTTTCTGATGAGGTTCAAAGAAGCTTTGACTGAGTTGGTAAGGACCTGGGAGTCTCAGCAACAGGTCCCAGGTGCAAATCCATCTTTAGCCCTTGTAAAATGAGGATGGGTCTGTCATGGAGGTCATCTGGTACCAAACCAGTAGATAAAGCCCAAACATCTTCATATCGAACCTGAGGAAATGTCCTTTATGTTCTGATGTAAACATTTAACCACAAGAACCTTTCTTTGTACCAGTGAGGATCCGAGACTACCCCCGCTATCTGTTTGAGATTCGGGACTGGGAACTGTCAGGACGTCTAATGGGGACGGAGCAGGATGGACAGACGAGAGCTCGACGTAAAGAGGTGGTTCCATTGGGCCCACCATGGGGAGACGTGACAGTCCACAGAAACATGCCGCCACTCAAGTTCTACTATGATTTTAAATGTAAGTCTGACTGCAGTTTTTCTCAGTTCTGTTTAAAAATAAAGAGGATTTTTTTATTATGATCACGGGTCAGGATGTTAGTCAGCTGATGAGAAAAAACCTGCTCACTAAGAAGATCTGTGGTTGACTCATTCTAGCCACCATCTCCCTCTACACCATCGTGTGGGGTCCATGTTGGGATCCTGCTTGGACTCTGATTGGACAGTCGGTCGACCTGCTGACAAAATCTACTGTTGATCCTTCGGCGCCTTTGGCCTGGTGGGACAAAAGTCGTCTCTTGCTGCACGGACACTGGGTTATGGACATCGACCAGGCCAATCTGCACCAGTTGGCTACGGAGGTAAAACACTGCAGCTGGTAGATGGTCAAGAGTCAGCATTGTCTTAGATCAGAGGGAATGAGCTGGACAAGGATCCTGATAGCCTTTACACTGTAGAGTTGTGATATCACACCAGTCCAGTGTGTTGATCAACACAGAACAGTTTGTTAATACACTGTGGTTATCTTTCACACCTGAAGTTTAATTGTTGTGTGTAACAGATTTGTGTGATCATTTGTGTGTATTGATCTTTACAGGACCCTTATAACACTACGGAGAACCTGCACTGGGAGTGGACTAAACTGAACTTTGACTGGAACCCTGGACAGTTTGTGTTTAAAGGAGACCTGGATGTTAATGTTAGGACAGCGTCAAAGTCAGTGCTCTCTTTACAGATGCTCCAGTTTTTAACTTTCTACAAAATGGCACACAAAAAGTGAAGAATTTTTTTTTTCTCCAGGTATGATGATATCTGTTTCCTTCGTCTCCCTAATCTATGCATGACCCTTGACCTTCAGTGGCTTTGCCACGGTAACCCCCACGACCATCATTCTGTGATGGTCTGCTGTGCAGAAAACGTGGCAGACGTGACCTCGGGGCAACCTCACGACTCCTACAGAGCATTTCGCTCTGAGAACCTGAACCTGTCTATCAGTATGGACTTGAACCAACATTGTTCTACAGGTACCTGCTGTGCTGGGTCACAGAAGAACTTCTATAAGAACTTGTGTGTGTGTGTGTATATATAAATATATATATATATATATATACATATATATATATACATATATGTATATATATATATGTATATATATATATATATATAGAGATATATATATATATATATATACATATATATATATATGTATATATACATATATATATATATGTATATATATATATATATGTATATGTATATACAGTATATAAGTAAAACAAACTCTCTTCCGCAGTAGAACCCTGTCAGCCCAGAATCCTTTTGTACAGCAGCACCCTGCGCTGGATGCAGAACTTCTGGGCCACATGGACCAGTGTATCCCGACCCATCTGCAGAGGAAAACTATTCCACAGTCTGAAACCAGTCCGCAAGAAGCTCAGTCAGCACTACAAACAGATGTCCTACACTGCCGCCTTTCCACAACTCCAGGTACTCCAGAGCATCCTCTAAACATTTTCTATGTTATGTTACTTCCTTCTCTTCAAGGTTGGAGGCAATTTGGTCAGACTGGTGGTACTGTCAGAAAGAGTTAGTCTATACGTGTTGTCAAACCTTTTAAGACTACACCGGAGGGGTAAATGATTATATTTCAAAAACACTGGTCCTGGTTTTATCAATAAACTTGTTTCAAGACTAAGAATTGATCAGGTTTTACTTAGGATATATATTTATAGTTTAAAGTACTAATGCTGTGTGTGTCTGCAGGAATTTGTCTTCTGCTTTCAGGGGTCCTCCTCCTGACGACTGAAACTTGTGTTTCTTTCAGGTCCATTACTGGGCCTCCTTTGCTCAGCAGAGAGGAATCCAGGTGGAGTGTAACAAAGGTCACGTCTTCACCAGAGGAACACAGAGACTCATACCTCAAGGTAAACACGATGTGCTTCCACAGGCTGGTCTTCTTTGAACTTTGAGGTGATCTAGTCACACCTTTAATTGTGTGTGTGTGTGTCCCAGCTGGCACAGTGATGAGGAGGTTGATCTCTGAGTGGAATGTAACTCAGATGGTCAGTGAGCTGTCACAGGTGACGGTGCACCTGATGGCCTCCACCTGGGACGAGACAGCTGACCATCAGATCAACGCTCAGGTGAAGAAGACTCACCTGCTCAGCCTGTCGTCTCTCAGCTACCAGCGTCAGAGCAACCGCGTGGAGGAGGTAAAAGAAGATGTAGACTGTGTGGCCCTGCCGTTTTAAATGTTTTTGTTACTTTGTGTTTTATGACTGCTGCCTGTCTGGGCGAGGCATAAGAGATAATCATTCCTGGTTAAATAAATATATATAAATATATTCATTAAATTACAATTTTGTTTGCAAAAATCTAAAACGATAATGTTAATGACTCACTAAATACTTCAGGATGTACAGCATAAATAGTACTGCTTTGACTTTGGTTTGTTTTGTAATGTCTGCAACAGGAGGTGAACCTAAAGGATGAATCCATCGCCTTCTATACTCACAAACTGCGGCTGGTGGACCTGAGAGCTTCATGGACCACCACTAACAGGAACATTGCCTTTGGGTTGTACGACGGCTACAAAAAGGCATCTGTTCTGAAGAGGAACCTTTCCACTGAAGCTCTGAAGGGTCTGAAGATCGACACCCAGCTTCAGACCAAGAAAATCAAACGCTCTCCTTCAAACTACTCTCCTACCACGGCCCCAACCACACCGGTCACACCCACAGTCCACAGACCAGAGAAGAGTCAAAACGAAGGTGAGGACATCACTGCATTGAAGTACAAGGAACCCCCATTACTGTAGTTCCACTTCCAATGAACATGTTCTTGTTTCTTCTGCAGGAACGTCCATGCTGCAGAAACTGATTGAGGAAACGGACAAGTTTGTGGTTTTCTCAGAGGAAGACGCAGGTGTCAGCGATCAGCTGTGTGGAATCGCAGCCTGTCAGACTGACGACGTTTACAACCGCAATTGGTTCATTGAGTTGGTCAACTGTCAGGTGTGTTTCTGCTGCTATTGTAGGCTGTGTTTTTGTCTGTGTTCCAACTCAACACTATGGCTCAGCAGTAACCGCTACTGTCAGTCCTGGATAACCTCTTTTTCCACTTTTTTCCCTAGGCATGTCTTTTGTGTACCTGATACAGTTTACTTAGTATCTGTAGTGGTTTTCTGTATGACTTTGGTGTTTTTACTTCTCTCTTTGGACCAGATGATGTTACGAGGCACAGAAACAGCAGGCTGTGTGTTGGTGTCTGCAGCCAAGGCTGAGTTGCTGCAGTGTGAGCACCACCCTGCCTGGTACAATGACACCCTGAAGCAGAAGACCACATGGACCTGTCTGCTGGATGGCATGCAGTACTTTGCTACCATGGAGCCAAACATGTCAGAGCAGGAAGACAGGCAGCTGTGGCTGGAGGTGAGAAGAAGATGCGACCACACAGTGAAACACCTTTTTGGTTCCAAGTTATTTAGGTTCTGATGAAAACCTTGGTTCTTTAAAATAAAGTAACCTATGATGGGTTAGATCATTTTAAGAAAAAAACAAACAAGTTCTACTGTTCTAATCTTCTCCAGCTGTGTCTGGTCTCTACAGCTGTTCTACTGTATTTGAGCTACAGTGATGTCACTCCTCTGATTATTGTCTGTTCTCATGTTTCCATTAGGTAAAAAACATAGAGGAACACAGACAGCGTCACCTGGACTCAGTGCTGGAGTTGATGGAGAGTGGTCAGGCAGTGGGAGGCATGGTCAGCACCACCACGGGTGAGGAACCACTGACACTTAAAGCCGGTTAACTGCATCTGACCACAGGATCACACGATGTTGACAAATATAATACTGTTTTTCATTTATTTTGTTGTTTTTACTTTCTAGAAAGTATGAGCTCTGAAATACAGTAGTTCAAGAGATTCAGTGACTAGAGTTACTCTAAAAACCCAAATTTTACACTTGAACATGAGACCAGTTGTTTTGCTTTATGCAAGTGAACAAAAGAAAAAAATGGAACAGGTTAAAAGACTTAATTTTTAAATACTGCTAACTAGACGTGAAAAAATGGCTCCATCTGGTGTCTGCTCTACACATCACACAATTGCCACAGTAACTCTACCACTGCTCTGACCAACAGTATTTTTTTAATCCCTCACAGACTGGAATCAGCCGGCTCAGGTGAATGAGTCTCAGCAGGTTCAGCGAATCATCTCTCGCTGCAGCTGCAGGATGCACTACATCGGTTACAGTCATGACATCAACCCAGAATTGGCCACACAGATCAAACCACCAGAGCTGAGGAACAACCACGAGAAGGAAGATCTGCTGAAGAAACAAGCTGGTAGGTCGGCTCCTGCTCCCTTTGGTCCCCATCAAACGTTCACAACAGGAGAGAGAAGGGTGTGCACCACGTTCTCTCTCCCACCAAGTCCAGAGAGAAAATCAATGGGTTTAGCTCACAGACCAGTTCTGTTTCATCTGTTTCTTCTTTTTCTTAGCTATGATTTTAGTGATTGTTATAAATGTATTAAAAATGGAAAATGATAAACTTGCAAAAAGTACAATAGAAGCCTGGAGAGCTCTGGCTTGAATTCAAGCTCTTCTTTCATTCATTTAGCACAGGTGTGTGTGTGTGTTTCCACATGTGTGTGTTTCTGTTCTAGGGGCTGTGGACACCTTCACTCTCATTCACCATGACCTGGAGATTTCCACCAACCCTGTTCAGTACGCTATGATTCTAGACATTGTCAACAACCTGTTGTTACACGTGGAGCCGAGGCGTAAAGTGAGTGATGCTGATTCTTCATGTCCTTCCCTCTGTTTCTTCATTGCTCTTCTGCGAGTGTTTTTTAAACTGTATATTTGTGCAGGAGCATAGTGAGAAGAAGCAGCGAGTGCGTTTTCAACTGGAGATTTCTAGTAATCCTGAGGAGCAGCGCAGTAGCATTTTGCACCTGCAGGAGGCAGTGAGGCAGCACCTCGCTCAGATCAGACGTCTAGAGAAACAGATTTACTCCAACATCAGGGTGAGACTATCTAAAGAAATTCACATTTCTATAAAACACTATGTTTATTCTGCTAAGTCTGTCATGTGCAACAGACCTAGATTATAGTAACAAATAAAAAGAGGAAATACAACTTGTCAGTGTAATGACTCAAATTCTAACTTTAAATTTAACTAGCCCCATCTGTGGAAGCTGTCACAGGTGGGGCTGCCTCCCTGTGTTTGGGACAAGAACCAAAACCAAGCTGTTTCCTTAAAGAATATCTGCCTTCTTTTTCTGTTGTTAAGAATGTTTGTTGTTTCTCTGAATTTAAATACTTCAAAATAGAGAGAGAATAAATGACGGGTCTGTTCTTCTTCAGGCTCAGCCTGAGGAACTGAGCAGTGATGAACTGACGGAGATCAACACCCGGCTGCAGAACCAGCTGAACCAGGAGAAGAACGACATGCAAACCAAGAGTGAAGAGCTCAACATACTCATCAGGTCTCACACCATCATACAATACCAGAAACCTTAACTACCAAACCATGACGGGGAGTTCCAGGTTTTATTCTTCTAAATTTTCATACAAGCAAAAACTTACTCCCCGCATGGTACAAAGCATTGACAATTTGACAATTATTTAAAAGTTAATTAGGGTGTTAAACATTGAGAAGGAAAATAAGATCTGCATGGATTACAGTTTGGATCTTGTCTCGCTGAGTCTTTTTCCTTTCCTCATGCCTGGAACATTTGGATCTTGTCTCACTGAGTCTTTTTCCTTTCCTCATGCCTGTTTTGTCCACAAGAATCAGGAAGGAACTTTCACCTCCACAAATAATTCTTCTGATTTAAAAAAATAAGATGTTCAAAGTTCTCCAGTCTTTGCGTCTCTCTTAATCAGAAGTCATTGTTTCAAGTGCAATCCTGGAGCAATCCTTTAAAAATAATTCAGTCTGTCATCATAACGTTGTCTCATAGATTAAAACATCTCTGCTGCTCTCAGGCTCAGTGCTGCTCCTTCTGCTGTGTTCCTGTTTCAAGTTCTGAAACTAGTTTCCTGGTACTACTGACCTCAACTCATCCAGCTACTGTAGAACAGAACTGCGTTCTACTCTAATTGACAAGATGCCACTTCTGATTTTTCCAGGTGTTTCAAGGACTTCCAGCTGCAGCGTGCAAACAAGTTGGAGTTGCGTAAACCTCCAGAAGACGTGAGTGTAGCGAGGAGGACAGAGATCTACTTTGCTCAGGCACGCTGGTGTCTGACTGAGGAGGACGGTCAGCTGGGAATCGCTGAGCTGGAGCTGCAGAGGTTTATGTACAGTAAGGTAAGGGCTGAGGTCCAGCAGAGTCCATCAGACTGTTTCTGTTTAGTTTTAAACTTGTTTACTCAGAAGGTAATGTTCGTACATGTTTACATTTCTTCTCCTATTTTCCATGCTTTCTTTTTTGTTCATTTTTTTGGTGACATTTCTGGAAAAAAAAATTTTTCTGGTGACATTTTCTTAGCATTGACCTCTGTATCTCCACAGCTAAACAAGTCTGATGACACAGCTGAGCATCTCCTGGAGCTGGGATGGTTCACCATGAACAACCTGCTGCCTAACGCAGCCTACAAGGTGGAAAGACAAAGATGCAAATTAAAGCATTGTTATAATAATCATACAGTACAAATAACAGTAAAATGTTAATGATAATAGAACAGAGAGGCAGCAGCAGTGCTGTTGTTATACATTTTACAACACTCAGTCTTTTTCTCACATTTCTGATTCTTTTGCTTGAATCCGGTGTGCAGCGTCTGAGGGTAGGTACACTGTTAGTAAGGTGACATGGGTGTGACCAGTGTGTGTGTGTGTCCACTCCATCTGTCTGTTCACACAGGATCACTTTCAGCCTACACTCACTGTGTTGCATGTTGACATTGAGATGCATGGTCAAACTTGTGTTGACATCTCTGACATTGTTGTAGAACGTCTGTAAAAACAAAATAGAGGACGTGTGTAAACTCTCCTGCAGGTGGTGCTTCGTCCTCAGAGCCCCTGTCAGTCTGGGCGCCAGTTTGCTTTACGGATCTTCAGTAAAGTGCGCCCCCCTGTGGGCGGAATCTCTGTGAAGGAACATTTTGAAGTAAGAAAAATTTCACTCAATTTTTTTCAAATAAAAACAGATGTTAATTTTTTTTCTTTCTTGTGCAGGTGAACGTTGTGCCATTGACCATCCAGCTCATGTACCAGTTCTTCAAAAGGATGATGGGATTTTTCTTCCCAGGCAGAAACGTGGAGGAGGAGGAGGTCACTGATGAAGAGGACAAGTTCAGACTGGTGACCACCGGTGAGACTGCAGCACACAGCAGTCTATGTTGACCAACTGTCACTTCACTCTACTGTCCGTCTGTTTGGATCAATGCAGCTTATACTCTTTATGGTGTTCTCCTCAACCTTGCTCTAAAAATAAACAAAGGTTCCAAGAACTAACTTATAATAAAAACACACAGCAACCCTGCATCAGTCAAGGAATGTGACAGAGAACGACTAATGCAAATAATAACCTTGTGAAGTCAAAGTTTTTCTTGGCTGTGGTAAATCACAATAAACCCCAATACCTTCTCCCTATCCTGTGTTTCAGGAATCCCCGTCAAAACTCGACAGTCGGAGGACACCATTGGGGCCATGGGCCCAAGCAAGGGCGTGGCCCAGGGACTGAACCGCACAGCTGGAGTCAGGCGGTCCTTCAAGAAACCTCCAGAGGTGCTTGTCAAACACACATACAGATGTATTTTGTGACAACACGGAACTATTTTGTATGAAAGGGTTAAAAACAATGGCTGCCTCCTTTGCTGTTTTAAGTCTCTCCATCTTCCCTCCACTAGCATCCTGTGGACGACATTGACAAGATGAAGGAGAGAGCAGCTATGAACAACTCCTTCATCTACATCAAGATTCCTCAGGTTCCTCTGTGCGTCAGCTACAAAGTGAGTTCCTGTTTGTCACTGCTGCCATCTGTGCTCTGTAGCTCGTAGTGACAATGTCATCATCTTCCTCAGGGAGAGAAGAGCAGCGTGGACTGGAAAGACCTGAACCTGGTTCTGCCCTGTCTGGAGTATCACAACAATACCTGGACCTGGCTAGATTTTGCTATGGCTGTGAAGAGGGACAGTCGTAAAGCTCTGGTGGCACAGGTAGACTCCTTGACTCTCCTCCTCACCTCCTGTTATTGACTTTACTCTCTTCTCTCTCTTCCTGTTTCTTCTGTTGGCAGTTTCTTTCTCTTTTTCTTCTGCCATCACGATGGAGGGATGTTTACTGACCTAATATACAGCTTGTTGATTTGATGTACAGTATCTAAGCTCATGGTGTGTGTCTCTTCTCTCCATCCCTATGGTTGCTCAGATGATCAAGGAGAAGCTGCGTCTGAAGCCTGCCTCAGGTTCAGACCTACGTGGAGGGAAGTCCTGTGAAGGAAAGTCGGACAACGTCCTGCAGCAGCAGGAGGAAGATGAGAAAGCTCGACTTCTCATCGGCCTCAGCACTGCTGACAAGAGCTCCAGCAAGAAGAGCATCTTCAGCCGACGCAAGTGAACGAGATCTTTTCAAACTGGGTGAAACTGGATCACCTACATCTGAGGTCAGGGTAAAGTTAGAAAAATACAAAAAGAGTGAGAGCTGAACATTCCAAATAGGTTTATAGAATTTCAGTGTGATTGAGGATCAAGCACTCCCTCAAATTCACTCCTAACTGACAGAAGACTTTATCCTGCTGGTTCAGGAACAACATCTCAGTCTGACAGAATCAAGATCAGATGGATGAAGGTATTTTCAACATCTTCAACTAATATATGTATGAGGTAGAGTCATGGAGAAAATATCTACAGCAGAGAATCAGAAGTCTTTAATATTTATTGTGAGTTTCCTTCTGTTCAAAACAAAGTCAGGATTCTTTAAGAAAGACCACTGAAATCTCAGACTCAAAATATCAGAAACCTGAGATTGAAATTCTGACTCTAAAACGTTATCTCAGACCACTGAGGTGGAGACCCTGTGTACTGTGGGTCTGGTTGAGGTTCTGATCCTTTGATGGACCTCAGAGAAGATGGTGTGTGTTCTTGAATGAAGCTGTGTGTGAGGCTGAATGAATGTCAGTGACAGGAAAGGCCTTCACTCGTGAATGAGAGCTGTGTGTCCAGTGTGGTGAAAAGTCCTTATCACGGTATTAACATGTTGGCAGTACAGTGCTTTTTACACAGAGAATTTTGATATTTTTGTAAAATGGCTGCTTCTAATGATGGTTGTCTCACATTTCACTGAAGACTTGTTATTTTGATGTAATACAAATATACTTTTAATTTGAACATGATAATCTCACACGAGTTTTAAGATTACAAAAAAGAATCTGTGTCTGCCCAATAAATATAATAAAGTCCAACTCACTTGATTTATGGAGAGTTGTTGTTAGGACCAGGACTGTGCTACAAAACCAAGGAACCAGCTCCGCTTCCATCCCAGAATGGATGTGTGTAGATCCAGAACCTCCTTGGCTGTTGTGAAGTTTAGGACTGACTGAGGAGCTGCTGATCCCTGTGACCTCCTGGATGTTGTCAAGGCACATGACTATAGGTAAGCACGCTCGTGCAGACTAATCGTCTGAAATTGTGTGAAAGTCATACCTGGAAAAGAGAATGTGTAGAATTTGTAGTGTTGGGCACGTTACTTTGAAAAAGTAATTAGTTATAGTTATTAGTTACTTCTCACAAAAAGTAACACAGTTAGTAATTGAGTTACTCCACTATAAAAGTAACTAGTTACCAGTTAAAGTAACTGTTGCGTTACTTTTTTTTAAGTTAAAAAATGTAGAGTAAAGACAAGTACCTGAACAGAGGTTTTAATTTATTGCACCTCAACAGACCGCAACTGGTACAGCTGTTTTCATCTTCACAAAAGTAAACATTTCAACATTATGAAGTGCTTTTAACTCGCTGTGGTGTAAATTAAATGAATCAAACTTTCACAACTTAAGACAACTGGTGGACATACTGTGTTCCAACTATGTTCTTAAAAAGAAAAATAAACAGTTTTAAAATTGTGCTGAAAATGTATATGAATCTGTTGAACAAATCCAACTTTAATTCCTAAACATTCATTCATCTGTCCATCCATACACTCCGAGATTCATATTTACTGTATATTTACAAATTAAACTATAGAGATGAGTGCAGCACAAATTTAATTTTGACTTTCAAACGCCTCCTTGAGGTGATGCAGAGTACTGCCTGCCTTCCCTGCTGACTTTTCTCTGCACTTTCTTGTACGATCAACAGGAACAATTCTCTCCCACAGACATTAAAGACATTACACAAACGCTGGAGAGTCATGATGTAGAACAAATATTTCTGTAAAGTTTATATTGGAGATGTACTGAGGAACAGAAACGGGGACGCGTCATGTGACCCAGTTTGTATGGAAGCGCACAGTCAGATATGAGGCACAGCTCTGTGACGTGTTGGTGACGGTAATGACGTTATAACGATAGATTAAAGTAATTAGTTAGATTACCCGTTACTGGAAAGTAACGCCGTTATTCCCAGCACTGGCCATTTGTAGTCCAACTCACATGTCAGACCACAGTGGACTTCAAGACAGTATGAGATAAAGTGTGGGAGGGATCTGTCGTTGTTTATGTTTGTCTGAACTGGTTTGAACAGGAGACCTAAGCTCATCACTGTCACATGGTCTGTGAAGTTCCTCCATGTCTATGGGTCGTGTCCAAAACTTCATCAAGTTCGTCTCTCTATCACTCACACCCGCACACAGACCATTTTACTATCCTGTGAGTTGTTAATCTGTTAATCCTGTCTCAGAATATTCCAGCTGTATTAGCCAAATGATTTACCGGGCAAAGAGTAGATTTATTTATGAATCAATGAGCCGAAATTAACTTGAAATTAACTTAAAAAATACGTTTTAAAAATGTTAAGTGCACCATAAAGACACAAGAGGGCGCAAAACCAGCAATAACTGTGTTCGAGGTGTGTAGGGTCAGTCCCGCCTTACACGTTTCATTTTTAATTATATTTGTTGTCGTTGGTATTTTGTTATTCTATGTTTTAATATATGATTTAAGTTATTAATTTTGAATAATTTAGTAATAACAGTTCTTATACATTTTCATTGTAGTTTCAACTTCTATCACTCCATCCTTTTCTCACTATGCAGGTGGTTAAAGCTTGAGCCAATCCCGGACAGCAGTCATGAGTTGAGGGTAGAGTTACACCCAAGAAGGGTCCTCAAACAGGGTCACAAACAGAGACACACTCACATTCACATCTCTGGTCAGTTTAGCATGAACAATGATAATAGATTTTGGACTGTGTGAAGAAAACACACACACACACAGAGAGGGAGAACAGTAGAACTCCATACAGAAGAGCATATTGATTTGAGCTTGGGATTGAACCACTGACCTTTTTACTGTGAGGCTTGCTGTGGTCAGTGGTAACACTAACTGGTCCTGCTATTATTATCATTTTTAACTTTTTATATTGATTATTACTAAAACAAAGTGAAACTAATTTTTTATTTGTTTCTCCTCCTCCTGCCCCTCCTCCTGCTCCTGCCACTCCTCCTGCTCTTGCTCCTTTGGTGTGTCAGTAGCAGTACTATCAGACAGTTTCATTCTGCTGCAGGAACTTGTCACTGACCTCAGACTCTGCTGCTGCTGTTGTTGATCCAGTTTTTCCACCTGTCCTGGTTTCACTAGACTCACTTCAGTTCTGGATTAACTTCCTGTTTTCTTCAAGTTCTGCTACCATGCTGCTGGACTGTGTTTTTAATTTATGCTTTTACTTTTTGAAAGTTCAAGTTGAAATGAACAACAGGCTGAAGCTGATTAATGGTGAGTTCATTTGATTAATTAATGTCACGTCAGGGAACATCAACGTCAAGCTCAGGTTTCACTTTATCAACTGTACTATTTTTTACACATTCCTGTGATGGGCGACATGATGAGACTGGGGAAATAATCCTGACAGCTCCAGGACTGAGTTCTTCTCCAGAGAGTAGATCTGGGAGCTGGACCTCAGTGTGATTTTTACATTTCAAGTTGTGTCAATATCATAATCTAAAACAAATCTTCTGGAATGTGTTAAAAGTAACTGCTGTGTCTAAAAGAATCAAAATTTCCAGCCTCGAGATTATAACCTTTGTAGGGATTCAATCTCTCAACCCTTCTCTTGGAAGTTGATGACTGTTTACAGTGAACCTGTAAATCAACGTGAAAACCCAGAATTTTACAGAAATTAGCGTTTTCTTTCACTCTTTCGTTTTCTGCTGGTTTCTGTTCCCGGTTCATCCGTTCAACCTCTGAAACTCCTCTAGTTAATGTTCAACTCTCTCAGTGTGGACGCTGATCCTTTGAGGTCTCAGATACTGATCCATGTCCCTCTTTGTTTATCCGCAGGGTCAGACTGAGTCCACGGACAAAGCAAACCACCACCATGGACGAGGCCAACGATGTGGATCTGTCCAACAACAATATCCTTCCTCTGTGGAAACGACGCACCGACAATCGGACAGGTCCTCAGGAATGTAGAAAATCCAAACCTCGGCCTCTCAGTTATCACATCAACGGGGTCATGACGACAGACTTCCCTGTGGAGGACAAGTGTCCTCTCACCCTCAGTCAACCTGCTGAGACGCTGGTCTTCCGTCCCACGTGTCCAGGCACCAACACAGCGGTGCTGAAGCACGTTCTCAGCAAACCCTGCAGGAAGTCCAGGGTAGTGCGGAGCATCAGCATCGGAAACCTTTCAAACCAACGCTTCTCCCTGTCCAGGTTCAGGTCTGAGGACAGGAAATCTGCCCCACTGGACAACAAGGGTTGTGACAGAGTCTGTGGTGCTGGGAACACAGGTCCTAGAGATATTGTCTGGAATGAAGGGAGCCTTCAGGACCATGGCTCTCTAGCTCCTCCAGACTCTCCTCCACGTCTGTCTCATCACACTTTCACCAACAACCATCAGAACGTCTTTTCGAGCTCCTCTCCTCTGGTCCCCACCCCCTCACACAGCTCCTCCTCCAGCATTCCCTCCCTGTCATCCTCGGATCCGCCGACTCCTCGCTCCTCATCACCATCGGACAGAAGTCAGGTCCTCCTCAAACGCCAGGACTCCAGGGGCTCCTGTTCCTCCTCCACTCCCTCTCCCTCCACTTCTTCTCCCTCCATCGTCCTCAGCACCAACAGTCCTGCTGCTCTGAAGATGGGAACGCAGCAGCTCATTCCACGGAATTTAGCCTCGGATGTCCGACAGACCAAGATGACCGTCTCTGGACCCTCAGGTCCTGGTCTGACCGGGCTCCTGTGTGTTGATAATTCCAGACGAGCCTTGAAAACACTCTCTATGGTGGAATCTGGACTGTACTTTTCCACAAGAGGTCCTGGAGAAGAAATGGACGGAAGAGGCGACAGTCCAGGAACACTCAGGAGAGGGCTGAGGAGCACGTCTTATAGGAGGGCTGTTGTTAGTGGGGAAGAACTGGAGGATCCGTCAGGAGATCCCCGATTCCCAGGACACTTGTCTCTGTCTGCTGGAGATGATAAACAAATTTTACCAATAGGTCCAGGATTATCCAAACCCACAAGTCCTGGAAGAAATACATCATCAAGTCCAAGGACAAAAAAACATACCCTTCCTGGTATATCCAAACCTTCAAGCCCTGGAACATCCCAACCTGCCAGTCCTGGAACACCTAAACTTTTAAGCCCTGGAACATCCCAACCTGCCAGTCCTGGAACACCTAAACTTTCAAGCCCTGGAACACCCCAGCCTGCCAGTCCTGTAACCCCAAAATTATCCAGTCCCAGGATCTCAAAACCTTGCAGTCCTGGTTCAGAACCACCATCCAGAACAGGGACAAACAAGGTAACCTCTGACTTAATCCCAGAAAACAGAAGTTCTATGATTATCACTGGATTATCCTTTAATTATTGAATTTTCACTCATAGAATAAATCCAGTATCCAGTCAGAGTTGTTCTAGTCCCTGTTGTTTTGAACATGCAGGCAAAGAAACAACAACAGAAACATTTCTTGTTCTAAACAGAAGTTTTTTCAAGCGCACACACACACACACACTCTTTCAGAATCCAGACAAGAAGAAAGTTCTGACCAGTCAGCGGACGTTTGACAGTGAAGGTGAGAACCTGACACCTGGGTCATGTACCCCCCAGCAGCCCCACCTCTCTGTTTGTCTTTCTAACATTGGTGTTCTGCTCTGTTCCAGAGGAGGAGCTCTATCAGAACTACCAGGAGAAGGCCTTACACAACGACTCAGATGAGGACGCAGATTCTAGAGAGGCCAGTCCTGACAGTGGGATTGTTGTCCAGTACAGACCCATCAGAACCTCCTGGAGTCAGCTGAGTGTGGTCAGACTTGCATCACACGCGCACACACACACACACACACACACACACACACACACACTTCCCTTCTCTTCTATACATCTTGATGGAGAATCCCACATCTGTGAAGAATGTCCTCATGTCTATTTTGACCACAGTTTGATCTCCTCCCCTCATGTCAGAGGACAGTGATGGTGAGACAGTACCCTCTGTCTTCTAGTCCTCATGACTCCACAGTCGTTTGGACGACAGGTCGGAAGACAATGACCAGATGTGTTGGTGTTAGAGGTCAGACTGGGACAGAGACAGAGATAGGGACATGTAGCTACTCCGTATGACAAACACAAATGAAGACAGGACTCCAGAGACCTGGAGTGAGCTCTGTGTTCTACTCCAATCAGTTTGTTTACAGCATGACGAAGGAATGAAAACAAGGTGGAACTGAGAGGTGCGACTGCTCTGGGTGTGTCCAGGTGAAGCTCCTTCAACAGTTCTTGGTACTGTCTGTCTAACCTTTAGTCATGTGTTGGCCAGCGTCCAGGTCTAATGTGGAGCAGAAGTGATGGTGCTGTTGTTCCAGCCCAGCTGCTCTACAGCTGTGGGTGTGTTTACACTGTGTTCAGACTGAAGCTTACGTAACAACACACATTCTTCTCACGTCTCACATTCTGTGGGAATCATCGCTGTGACCCAGTGGTTGTCCTCTGGGCCACAGGAAACGGGCTGCCTGTCAGCAGAGGACACAACCAGATCTAAAGACGTTCGTCACATCAGAACTTTTCCTGTTCACAGTCTCCTTACTCCCTGATGTCTAAAAGGTTTACGACTGTGTTTTCAGCAGCAGGAGGGGGAGTTTTTCCAGGATTCCCTGCAAACTTTAACCCAGTGGATCCAGAGTGTAGCTCCAGGTGAATTAGTGACTGTGTAGAATGGAGAGTCAGCAGTCACACCCAGTCAAAGGGCAGAGTGGAGAGGACTTAAGAAATTAACTTTACAAAAAGAAGATGATTAAAGGGGCAGTCTGCAGTTCTGCTTCACTAAATAATTGCGTGTCACTCCACTCTTACCACCTGTAGGTGATGCTAAGTTTAAACATTTAAAACCCCGTTTCATGATTCACCTTTACTGGTGCGTTGTTTATATACAGTTAGCGTGCAGCCAGGGCACTTGCATTTAGAGCGTGTTAGTTTTGGTTTTAGTGTTGTGCTGACACATAGTCACTATTCACCAAGGCTAGGTCAAGCATGCCTTAAGTGTCATTACTGCCACCTATTGGCTGTGTTATCCTTTGGTAAATATTCCACCTTGAGGACAGGCTGATCTCTGTCAACAGAAAAGAAAAAGAAGAATATCTAGAGAGAGGGTAGAATCCTGCTCATGTCACAGACCCTGAAACCACAGCTTTAATAACATACACACTGTTACCCTTGTATTTGTACTCAGAGGGATTGTGTTTATGTTTTTCTTCAGGTGAAGAAGAGTGGTTTGTCGGAGCGAATGAGCGCGGAAGAACGAAAACAACAGGAGGTGGGAATCAGTCCATGTGAACGTGTGATGAGGAAGATGTTTGTGTCCTGCTGACACTGACGGTCACTCGTTTTCTTCTCCTCAGGCCATATTTGAGGTGATCTCCTCGGAGCACTCCTACCTCCACAGTCTGGAGGTCCTGATCCGCATGTTCAAGAACTCTGCAGAACTCAGTGAAACCATGACCAAAACTGAACACCACCACCTCTTCTCCAACATCACTGATGTCTGTGAGGCCAGTAAGAAGTAGGTTCTTCTTCTCTCCTTCTCTGTCTTCCTGTCATGTTCCTCCCTGTGACCCTGTGACCAGGGTCAGAGCAGCTGCAGTGAAGCTGCCCTTTCAGAGCAGAGCTCTGTAGCTCTGCTTCAACCACATGTCAGAGAACAATGTTCTGCTGCTGGAGACAGAGACCTCAGTTATCAGAAGATGTGTATCTGTGTGTGTGTGTGTGTAAACACCGACAGTGTTGGTTGTTTTATTGAATGAAACATCATCCAGTGGACGAATAGAAGAAACATCTTCTTCACTCTTCACACAGACCAAGGTCCAGTTTCCTGTTTGTCACCTCAGACAAAGACACTTTTCTCCAGGCAGTGACCATGTGACCCTCCACAGTGACGACCATCTGCTGAAGCTGAGGAAGAGAAAAAGTGTGTGTGTTTCAGTCTGCTGTGTTTTCAGAGGCTCAGATTTCCTGCTCTGTGATCCTACAGAAGCTGTACTTCCTGCCCCCCTCACCACTCATCTACCCCCCCTCTAATTGTCCCTGTTGACTGATGAGTCTCTGACTCATGGTGAGAGTCCTTGACTCGGTCCTGATGGTCAGTGACCTGCTGCAGTGACTGTCTGTGGAGGTACTTCCTCTATGGTGTTGTGGCGTGTCACATGACCTGATGGTACTTCATTACACTTGTTTTCTGTGTTCAGGTTCTTCCAGGAGTTGGAGGAAAGACACCAACAGAACATTGTGATCGAGGACATCAGTGACATTGTCAGTCAACACGCCGAGTCCAACTTTGACCCCTATATCACCTACTGTTCCAACGAGGTCTATCAGCAGAGGACGCTGCAGCGGCTGCTGTGAGTCTTTCCTCCTCATCTCCTCTGTGATCTCGCTGGATTTAAATTTTTTTTTTCTAAAAATCACTGCTTTGAAACCAAGTTTGTTCATTTTGAGAAGATTTTTTTTTTCAATTAGTGTCATTTTTGTAACAGAAGACTTTTAAAGAAATGTTTGAAAAACATTTGTTGAACTCTAATGTATTGATTGTAATTGTTTTTTTTATTTTAAATAAGGTGTCTAGTTACTTCAAAGGAAACATTTCAACAGTTTTTTTTTTTCAGTTTTTAGTATAAAAGTTTTAAATTAGACTGTTTTAAAGATTAAGACTGTAAGAATGTGTGGTTCTGACCCGGACCTTCAGCCGTGGCAGGTCATAGTCACAGTAAATGTTCATCCTCTGGAACAACCCTGAACCTTCCTGTCGTGAACTGTGAATTTTCCTCCTCTTTCCTAAAACTCCATGTCTTTTCTCTTCAGCTCCAAGAATCCAGGCTTTAAGGAGGTGCTGAGCAGGATCGAGGCCCACCCTGATTGTAGGAACCTCCCCATGATCTCCTTCTTCATCCTGCCCATGCAGAGGATCACTCGTCTGCCTCTGCTCATGGACGTGAGTTCACTGCACAAACATTCCAAATTTGGGCTCTGGAATTTTTACACAACTCATGAGGATTCCACTCAGGGTGTGTCTCCAACTCACACACACTGATGTGATCTCTCATGAGTCCAGAGACCTGGCACACACTCCTTAGAATCAGCAGATCAGCCGAACACAAGCAGCCATGAAGAGTAAATAAAAGGCAGAGTGTTCTCCACCAATCAGGGTTGTGCTGTTAGCTCCTCCCACTTAGTGCATCTACTAACTGAAAAACAGTGTTAGTGTCACTCTGTAGTTCACATGGGTCATGGTACATACATTGCATTTACTCTCTCATCCTCCTCTGCCCTCCCTCCTCCTCACTCTACTTGTGTGACTTTCTCTCCTGGGATCCTGGAGTTTTAAACACTGAGGTTTTGGATCCTGAGAAAGTTGGGTTTTGTCCTTGTTTCGTCTCACAGTAAAGAAATGACCAGGATTCTAACAGAGCTGTAAACCTGTAAATCTGAAGCAGCTGTGGAGGAGGTTAATCACCGTTGTCAAGATGAACTCACCTTTCTATTTGTCTGTCTGTCTGTCTCTGTTATAGACGATCTGTCAGAAGACTCCCAAAGACTCTGCTCAGTATGACCTCTGTAAAAGGTCACTACAGGCCATCCTCAAGGTCAGAGGAGTTTCACTTCACAAGTTCATATTCATTTTTCTGGACTTCTGGATTCTGATGGTGCTGATGTAGTGAGTCAGTACAAACACAGGTCTGTGTGTGTGTGTGTATGTGTGTATGTCAGGTGGTCAGGAAGTGTAACGAAGGTGCTCGAAGGATGGAGAGAACAGAGATGATGTACACCATCAACTCTCAGCTGGAGTTTAAGATCAAGGTACAGACAAGAAAGAATCCTCTTCCATACACTTCCATGTCCTTGTTTTCATTCACTGATCATCGGATGAGACAGAGATTGGTTAGACTTAGACTTGGACTTTCTTTATTGTCATTACACAGAAACACAAGAAAACAGTGAGTCTGGTAACGAAATGTCGTTGCTTGGCAACCGCAGTACACAGTACAAAATACACAGCTTGTAGTATGTCTACATACATATGTATATAGGTAGTGCAGAACAGAAATTGTGCTAAAATATAAACTGATGGTAAATATACATAAATAGTATGTGTAAATAGTTCAGACGTGTGTTGAGGTAAACTATAAAGTACATATAAATATAAATACAATCAGTGTGAAGTGATGAATGTAAACAATAGTATACAATAGTACTGCACCTGTTTGACTGTGGGTAGTTATGGGTATTTAACAGCCTGATGGCCAGGAGAAAGAAACTGTTTTTGAATCTTGTTGTTCAAGACGCCAGCAGGGTGAACAGACCATTGTGGGGGTGGGTGGGGCCAGAGTGAACCTGGTGAGCTCTGGCTAAACAGCGTCTGTGTGCTACGTCCTGGATGGGGTGGAAGGTGTTGTGCCTGAGACTGTCATGGGTCATCAGGGTGAACAGCCGAGGGCTCAGGACGCAGCCCTGAGGGGAGCCAGTGCTCAGAGTGGTGTTGCCCCCTCAGACAGACTGGGTTCTGTCAGTGAGGAAGTCCAGCAGCCAGTTGGACAGGGGGTGTTAAGCCCCAGGGGGCCCAATTTGCATACCAGGTTCTGGGGGACGGTCGTGTTAAATGCAGAGCTGAAGTCCAGAAACAGCATGGTTCAAATTGTCCCTGAAATATCTTGGAATCTGTCCTTCAAATTCCCAGCCCGAGGTTAGTCCGAGGTTAGGAGTGCTTGAAGCAGTCATGTCAAGATTTGGTGATGACAGCAGTCCAAATATCTGCCACGTAAGCCCTGAAGATCACTGTTGGATACTGTAGTACTGACACAGGCCTGGCCATTCTACTGCATGTTAGACAGGATCTCAGGAGTGTTTCTGGAATCACTGGAAGAGAAAGGCACACGTTATACGTTTTTCACATGAATCTTTCTGAGAATGCTTGTCATATTCATGTGTAACATCTTCTGCTCATTCTGCTCCTCATCCTGCTCTACCTCCTGCAGCCATTTCCTCTGGTGTCATCGTCCAGGTGGATGGTGAAGAGAGGAGAAGTGACAGCATTTGTGGAAGACAATGGGATTTTCCTGAAAAGAACAGCTCGACAGCAGGTTTACTTCTTCCTGTTTAACGACGTTTTCATCATCACCAGAAAGAAGAGGTGAGACACACACACACACACCTTTCAACACTTGTTCTGACTTGTTGAAATTGTCACAGTGAGCCGTTTGGTTTCTCATTTTGGATGAACTGATGTTTTTGTGGTTTAACTTACCCATGAAGTTTAATTTGATTACTTGTACATGGATTTATGTGTACTGATGTACGCATATGTACTTGGGTGTACTACATGCATGCTGGTGTATGCATGTATACTTGGATGTACCATATAGTATGCACATATTGATTCCACCCAACAGAACAGAGTCCAGTCTAAAGTCAAGAGTGAACAAAGACAGGAACCAGAGTTCCACTGGACTATGAGCTTCAGGTAGAGTTCTGTTGTTCTACTGCAGAGACCCACCATGAACCAGACTATGGTCCACCTAGAGGAGACTAGAGGAGCTCATCATGTTAGAGGAGACTGAAACAGAACCACTGACTGAACCAAAGACCAGCCGTCTCGGTCTGAAAAGTCCAAATAAATGACAGCGATTCTGCTTTGAAGGGTTCTTGATTAGATCGTCGTGTGACCTTCAACATTTCACGTCTCACTGTGTCTAGCAGTTTCAACCCTCAGCTGTTTTTTAAGGAATGTCGCCGCCCTGGTGTCTGGTGTGAAATGATGTGTGAATGCAGAGTGTGTTTGTTCTTTATCCTTCATTTGCCTCTGCATCTGGAACTGATTGTGTCTTCAGTCACAGACTCAGAAAAATCCTCCAGAATCATAAAAACATCAGAGAAGGAAAAGAAACTGTCCTGATGTTTTTTTCTGGGAATACAATCCGGATCTAATCTGTGTGTGTGTGTGTTTGTTTGACTTTCTCCCAGTCTCAACAATCACCTGAACATTCAACATTCTGTGTGAATACGCCTGTGTTTTTGTTCTGCTGGTGGAGAACTGTTTGTTCTGTTGTTCCTCAGTTGTGGAGCAGAGAGGTTTTACAAATGGGCGGAGTCAAAAGTTATCAACCTGTGTCTGTCTTGTAGGAGGAGTCATGTGACCGAAGAGTCTCATGACGCTCCTCCTGACTTCTGACTTACTCAACTCTCTGTTGCGTTCAGATGCTAACATGGGAACCAGTCTCTTAGCCTTTAGGTTAATGATACTTATGGTACTCTCATGGACCTGGTTGGACCTGGTTCACCTTCTGTGTTCTCTCTGTGTTCCAGTGACGACAGTTACTCTGTGATTGACTACGCTCTCCGAGACAAGATTTGGGTCAGTTCCTGTCAGCCCGAGGATCTGAACCTGTCCCCTGTCAGAAGCACTGCAGCCATGCTCAGCCACTCCCGCCAGTCTGGAGCTAATCACCTGTTCCGTCTGGCGTTCCGTAGTAACTATTCGGGTGAAAAAGTTCCGATGGTCCTGGGCACAGATTTACTGTAAGTGTTGGTTCCTTTCTCTTGGGTTCAGTCACTCATTTTTGCAGACTCAGCTTGCCACTCACCTAAGGGTTCTTCTGTCTCTGAATTGGGTTTGGGCCCTTCTGCTGACAATTCAAAATTAACCTTTGACCTCATTGATGAAGCCTGTGAAACCAAGCTTTAATCTAAAACATCGTCATAAAAACCAGTCCAGTTAGTATGAACAAAGGTGTTCCCTGAGTAAGTGAAGTGGAACTTCTCCAAGTAAGAGAAGAAAGGAGCTGTAGTTACACAGACATCTGAGAGTATTTGAGATCGCCCGAGAACAGCTGTAAAAATATGAGATCATCTGCGATTTTTGAAAAATGAAGAATCATCTGAGAGAATATCAGATCATTTTAGAGAATATTTGAGAACTTTGAAACTCCACCTGAGGTTTGAGGTCTGTAGACAAACCAGACTTTGGATTATGTTCCTGATGAAGAAATCCAACTGAACTCCACTTCGTTGCTTTCTCTCAGCAGTTCATCCAGAACAGGTTCCTGCGTCTGAAACTCCTCCTCCTTCTTTCTCCCATGTTCTTTAGTCTGAAGTAGGATTCTGTTCCTCAGTTCTCAGGAAGATCCAGTTTCCTGTTCGTTCTCTCACTGTTGCACATGAGATCTAGGAAATGAGCAGTGGATGTTGTGTTGTTTAGTCTCAGCTTCACATTCACCACTGAAGAAGTCTGTCTTCACTTCTGTTCTTACATCTGTTCAGGATCACGACCCAGAAATGTCAAACTTAGTCAAAGAGCATTACTGACTGTTGTGCAGGAGGTTCTGGGTTTGATTCCATCTAGTCCTCAGGTGTCCCAGGTGTGGTAATCCTAGGAAAGAGTACGCTGTGTTAAAGTATTTGTCCTACTACTGTAGTGACAGCAGTAGTACACACTCTGTTTTGATCCACTAGTCAGTGGAAAAATTAAGGTAACCTTTGACCTTTGGTAAATGTTGTAAGTTTATTGAATTGTGAACTGTGTGTGTGTGTTGAGTGGTGAGGACCCTGGTAACCACCCATTGTTCCACCAGTTGCTATGCATTTTTCAGTGGTTGCCTAGCAACAAGTCATCGTGGTATGTTTCCCACGACTGTAGCTCCGCCTCTTCTCGACTCCTCTTCACTGTTTCATCTTTATAATCAGCTGCTTCACTGGAACTGGGGTAATGAGCTGTGACTCATGGGATGTTCTGGTTCTGAGGTCTGTGTGAGGCCCAGGTGAAAAGGTTTCTATCTCATCATGACTCACTGTGCGCCTCAGCAGAACCCCACGTTTTATTTCCTGAGCATCTCCCACCTCCTCCTCCCCCACAGACCCTCAAACCCGTGGTCTGTTGCCTGAGCTGGGACCAGGTGAGATTAAAGATCTGGTTTCATGGAACTCCACCTGTTTGTCTCCACCCTGTTATTTCTTCTCTCAGAAAGGCATGAGAAAGAAAAATCAAAAGCAGCTCCTGAGAATCAGTCCTTTGTTTGGGTCTGAAAACACACCTCTTTTGTCAAGGGTGGGAGGCGGAGCAGAGGGGGTGAGGGACGAGTCAGTAAAACCTGCTGAGCTGGGAGTCTGAACAATTCCTACAGTAATACAGAATGGAGACCAGGTCCCCAGTGTGTGTGCTCTCAGGGACATCACTGATGTCTCAGGGACATCACTGTTGTCTCTCTTTCCTTTGACACAAGTAACAAAAATATTGACTAAAATGTTCACACTTTGTTACAGAAATGAGCGAGCTCGATGGATCAGTGCCCTGGGTCAGAACAACAACAGCAACAAGAGTCAGGACAGACACAGTGAGTAAGACACGAACACACTCACAGTCGGGCTGTGGCTCCACCTTGTGGCTGATCCATGGAAAGTCACCTCGTCTGCGGCTCATGTCTTCGTGTGTGATGTTTTCAGGTGTTCTGCAGATGGAGGTGCTCCGGTCCTACACAGCCAAACAACCTGATGAACTCTCTCTGCAGGTGGCTGACGTGGTTCTAGTGTCTCAGACAGTGGAGGACGGTCGGTGTCTACGTCACACTTTACTCCACCTGTGTCTTTTTCTCAGTGTTTGATCATTAATCGTGTGTTTGTGTTTGTCCACAGGTTGGTGTGAAGGTGAACGACTGCGTGATGGAGAGAGAGGATGGTTCCTGGCTGAGTGTGCCGAGCCAATCACCTGTCAGATCACCATCCAAAGAAACATGCAGAGGATGGACCGTCTGCAGGGACTGGAGACCAATGTCTGACCAGGACTGGACAACAGGACCGACATGTGACCAGCAGGTTTTTCTACTCAGCCAATAAAAACTGAAACATTTCTAAAGTCACAGTGGTCCTCATGGGGGCAGAAAATAAAACAAAAACAGCCCAGAAAATAAACATATTTATGGAGGTGGCTAAATATCAGCCCACAATGAGCCAAAAGCTAAGATTGAGCAACAAACTCTGTACAGAAAATCAAGATAGATTTTTCACTGTGCTGGATCTGAGGCCCAGCTGTGACCATAGTTTATGTCCTGCTAAAGAACAAAAACATTTCGCGTAGAATCCTGGAAAACAAAAAAATAACAGAAGTTTCTTCCATTCACTCAGGGATACTATATATATATATATATATATATGTGTGTGTGTGTGTGTATATATATATATTTTTTTTAAAAATCTTTTTAAGCCACGATTTTTGTTAAGAAATGAACATGGATTTTTCATAATCACCTAAAAACATGAAACAAAATTGACACGGAAACAAAACACATTCTTAGCTTCTTTTTCAACTGATGACAGTGGAGGCAGCAGTGAGCCAACAGCTGTGAAGCTAAAAACACAGATTTTTCTCTCAGTCAGGTTTGGTGTGGCAGAGTGAGTGGTTCACCAACATCAGTTTTCTGTTCATGACGTCGGTCTTCTGAGATGAACAGAAAATATTTCAACTTTGTCAGTGAGATGAACTGAGTCTTCCTTTGCACAAACCTGAACTTTTCCTTTAAACTTTAATCACATTATCTTCTTGTAAGAATTATAAAATATCATTATTGTAAATAAACAGTGATGTACATTTGTAAGAAACTTTTATTTTTCACATGAAAACTTTCTAGTAATGAACGCTGATGTTTTTCTGCCACCATGGGTTCCAATTAACTTGTCTCAGTGATGAGGACTTGGATTAGAGATAAGAATGATAGAATAATTACCAGGTAAATCTAGACCAGAAAAACCTCAGCTGTAACACGATGAATAACAAAAATGCTGAAATGAAACAAAGCTGAAAAATCCAGGAATAAAAAAATAAAAAATACAAAGAAATCAGGAAAAGTTACAAAACTTTTCCTGATTTAGGTTCTGAAAATGTTTTTTTTATTTTTTCAGTCTTTTCTCTAATTTTCCAAAGTGAACTCCAGGGGGATGAACAAAGTCCTGTCTATCTAAATCTTATTTTTAAATATCACAGGAATCCCTTAAACACTTAAACACAGGACCCAGAAAAGTCCAGTCCAGTTTGGCTCTTTGTCTCTAGACTTGACTCTGGCGAAGAAAGTAAAAACCTGTTCTTTTTTTAATCTCACTCATTTTTTTTCTTTTATTTGTTTCTGTCACTACTTGGTGGTTTTATTATTTTTATTTGACTTGAATTTTGTTTTTTTAATTTCTTGATTGTTTCTTGTATGTAATTTATTGTTCTATTGTTCTTTGTTTGTATTTTAAACAGTATATTATTTGTTGATTTAGTTTGTATAACTTTCAAAAATGTGTATTGTTTATCGTCAGTATTAAGTAAATATTTGATCATGGATAATTTTTTTTACATGTACTCTTTTGTTTACTTCTTGTGCCATCACTCTAAAATATTCCAGGTCATGTGACAGATTAGCAGCAGAAGAAGTTATTCTACTTTTGGAGTTTATTATTTATTTATTTTTACAGATAGTTTTGTAATTTTCTGTATTTGTTTTTGAAGCAGAACTGGACCTGTTCTGGTCCCGGCACCAGGTTCGAGGACTTTAATCAAACTGAGCTCAGATCTCTTTGTCTCTGATGATGATGAGGTTTTCTACTCATCATCATCATCTTCATCCTCATCATCCCAGCCGTGAGCAGTGAAGTGAGTGTGTCGCCCTCTGTGGTCAGACGACCTTCCTGCAGGTTTCTCCTGGGTGGTGATCAGGTCAATGATGGCCGTGATGACAGCACAGTCTTTGGACTTCAGGTTTTCCCAATCCACTGGAGACGGCGTCTGGATTTTGTCCTGCAGCAGAGAGTCCAGCTCCTTCTTCAGGTTCTGCAGGAAACAGAATCAGACAGAAAAGAAAAAAGGTGAGAAATAAAAATGTTCAACTTTAAAGATTTTGCTCTCCTCAAAAAACAGACTTCAGATATTTTTTAAAGAAACTCTGTGACTAACTTTACCTTTACTGACCAAGTCACCTTTAATAACTTAAAGCAACGTATCCTCTTATTAAAAATAAAATATATATATTTTTTACCTTCACCAGGTGAGCGATGCGAGACGGGGACCTGAAGATGATCCACTCGTCCACAGCGATGGTCTCCTGGTCTTCGTCCTTCTGGATGGTGATGTCACCTCCAAAGAAGAGCAGGGAGAATGGAGACACTTCGGTGCAGTCGTACAGGAAGATCTGAGGCGACACATGGAGTTGAGGGGGGAGGAAGAGTGGGGTTTTAATTTAGAGCAGGTCTGGGATCAGTGAAGTGAAGCTGCATCACAATCACATGACTTGGACTTGCTGCAGTTGGGATGTGATGTTGACACAAACATCTTTGGTTTCTGTATCTTCAGGCATCACTTCCTGTCTGTGTTGAAGTGACAGCAGACTGTCGGCTGATTATTAACTGCCATTGGTTTTTTTCTTCAGATTCAGTGCTGTGTGTCTGAGCATCAGCTCTTTTCACTCTTGTTTGTACCTGTGTGTGAACGGGTTACTCTTCACAGGTTTCTACCAGGTTGGACTTAACATCTGAAGTCTTTGAAGAGAGGTTTGATTTCAGCAGAGTTCAAAGTTAAAAGTCACTCTTTCATCAAATATTCATCTAGAACCTGCCGAGAGCTCACTGCTGACATTTGAGTGTGAGCAGGGTTTTTACTCACGTCCACGCCACATAGAAACAAACACACACTCACGCTGCTAGTCTTCATCTTCAGGTGATAGATCAACCAAGTGTAGTTAAACTGTGTCTCCTCAGCGTTGACAGACTTTGGGTGAATGCAGACTTTTCCATCTGCCTGAGTGTAAACCTTCACCCTGTTCAAAAGAATTAAAGAATGTTAAAGGAGTCATGTTGAAGAAAATAGTATTAGTCTGCCAGCAGGGGTCACAAATGAGCAACTGAGTCAAAACAAAAATTTGAAATGAAATCTGAGAAATAGATAATGAAAGGTTAAACACTAGCTGAAATACAAATCACTAATGCTACGAGGTACTTAATGGGTCTGCTCCTACTGAAGTACTCTGATAAAGGCTTAGGGGACTTAGGGACAAAGGGAAAGGAAACTGAACTTGTCATTGTTACACAGCACACCACTGCACACAATGAACTGTGACCTCTGCTTTTAACCCATCACTAACACTGCCAGTGCTAACTTGGCAGCTGGTGGATTCAAACCTGCAACCTTCCAGACCCAAGTCTGTCAATCGCTTCCTTAACCACTAAGCCACCACTGTTACCCCACAACTACTCTGCTCAACTGGGGAACGTGGTCTGGCAGTCCCAACACCATCTTAACTAGCAATCTCCCTGTAGCTCGGATGCTAATCCTCTCGTAAGTCACTTTGTAAATGTAATTCTAGCCCCAACAGGCTAAACCAATGTTCTTTTACAGGACCGTCTCTGCTCAGTCAGCTGTTGTTGGTCTGATGTTATGATAAGTGTTTGAAGTTTAACAAGTTTAAAGTCACAAATGTGATCTTTGACATCTGACTGAAAACCTGTTTGATGTGTGTATGTGTGTATGTGTGTATGTTCCTGTTTGATGTGTGTTTGTGTGTATGTGTGTGTGAGAGAGAGGACAGACTGACCCTGGTCTCTTCCTGCTGTGAGACGGTCTGATCGTGGCCACCTTTGGATACAGCCCTGCCACGATTACTGCTTTGATCAACTTCTCATTGTCTGGAGATCATGAGTCAGAGATGAAGACGAGACAGAGGTTAGGACTGTAGTGACCCAGATGTTGTTCTTCATGTTACTGTGAGGTCATGTGGGTCAAAGATGATTCTATCACTAAAGAGAAAGTCTAAACATGTGTTCATTCACAAAATGTTTTTGTTCAACAGAAGGATGGCGATAAGTGACAGGTATTATCCTCAACACTGAACCTTCAGATGTGGGCTGGGGGACAGTTACCTGAGTTGACGTTAGATTTGGAGTCTTTGGGGTTTTTACTGCTGACGAAGCCTGTGTGCATCAGATGTTCAGCAAACTGAGTTTTCATGTTGTACAGCATCTGAGGCAGAAAAGGAGGAATGAGTGGACTGCACCGAGCTGAGGAGGAAAGATGAGAAGGAGGGCTTAGGAGAGAAGAGCTGAGGAAAAGAGATGAGAAGAGAAGAAGAGATGAAGGAATTAGATGTAAATGAAAAGAAGAGTGGAGAAAAGTCCTCAACAAATAATACAGAGAAAATGTTCTAAAAAGGCTGCAGACAGATTGAACGGATTGACGGATTGAACCAGCAAAACACCTCTGACGTCACACTCTCTGACGTTACCACTCCCTCTCTGTGAGCCTCGACCTGGTCTCACCTGGAGTGTGTTTGCAGACAGGAAGTTCTGCCAGCAAAACTCCCTCTCACTTCTGCCTCCATGCTGTCTGGCTTCCTCCCAGCCCTGGATCAGTGAGAGAAGGAGGAGAAGGAGGAGGTGAGAGCAGGTCCAGATAAAAACAACAGATTAGAAGAAGAAGGAAGCAGCTGTGACTGACCTGGAAAGCATTGACGATGGTGAGATGATCGCTCTTGGAGTTTCTGGATAGAACTTTCCTCCTCATGTCTGCCATCTTCTCTTTACCCTGACACACAGAACTCATGTTTAACCTAAGTGACCTCTAGAACTGGTCCAGAAAAAACTGAACAGGAACTTTGAGACAAAGTCATCTGGAGGTTAAATTAAACCACAAACAGTTAGCCAACAGAAGTTAGACGCTAACACTAAGACTGACAGAGGTCTTCAAAGAGTTCTTCATAGATAAGAAAAAAAACATTTAACAACACTGTGTGTACTGGTTCCACCCACCAGGGGGATGAAGAATGGGTCTTTGAAGCTGAGGGACGCAGCCATGGTGAGAACAGGGTCCAGGCAGCTGAGCAGAGCTCCAAACAGGATCAGTTTACCAATGTGAGGTTCCACAGGAAGACGGGCCAGGTGGAACCCCAGAGCTGTCAGGTTCTCTGAATGGTCCAAAGCATTCTAACAACACAGCATTAGCACACAATTAGCAGATGTTCGCTCCATGACTCTGTTTAAAAAATCTTTGGTTCCTTCTCACCAGGTCCATGAGGTTCTTGATGGCCAGGCTGACGGCCTGTTCAGAGGGGGGGTCCAGAGCTTTGTTCAGGAACTGAGCCACAGAGCCCAGCTTCAGAATCTGAGCCGAGACACACAACACAAATAGGTGTTACATCACATGCACCTGTGGAGGTGTAATCTCACACACACTCTTTGTGATCCATCAGACTGCAGTAATATAAAACCCATCATCAGTGAAAGCATTGTTGTCAACCATCATCTCCAGCAGCAGCAGCTCTTTGTGACCTCTGGATCTGTAATCCATTAGCCAGGCCTGTGTGTCTGAGCTGGAGTGACAGTCTGCTCACAGCACCTTGATCTGCAGACACAGCTCCTCCAGTGGAGTCCTCATGATCTCTGGTAGCTGATAGTCCTCCAGCAGACTGGCCCTCAGACTGTTGTACAGGTGATAGCACTTCCCTGGACGCACCCTGAATGAGATCAGAAAGGTCAGAGGTCAAATCAACTCTTCAGATGTAGAATCAAGTGGCTTCTCTCTGTGGTTCTGGAACCACAGACAGCTGACACTGAGGTGAGAAATGGCAAGAAAACATGCTAAAACACAACCAAGTTTTCTTCTTAACAAAGAGCTAAAAGTTTGTCTAATGAAGCTAACATTAATGTAAGTTAAATGATAGCCAAGAACGACAGGTAAGAGGTCTGAGCAGTAACTGATTTACACTGTCACATGATCTCTTCATCAGAATAAAAAAACAACCTTCCTGCTCGTCCTCTCCTCTGCTTAGCGTTAGCCAGACTGACCCACTCTGCTGCCATGGTGCTGATGTTGTTGTTGGTGTCGAAGTGCGTCTCTTTAATCTTTCCTCCATCGATCACAAACACCACATCATCAATGGTGATGCTGCCGGAACAGGACAAACAGTCATGGTCAGAGCCACCGCTCCACTGTACTGCACAGGATGTCACTGTACTTCACTGCACTGCATTCCACTGAATTTACTGTGCTTCACTGTACTCCATTAAACTCCAGAGTACTTGACTGGACTTCAACACACCTGGTTTTGTCCCGTGTCTGTGGAGACACAGATTTGATCTGATTCTGACAGCACTCACCTGGTCTCAGCGATGTTGGTGGCAATGACAATCTTCCGAACTCCTGGAGGAGGCTTTTTAAACACCTGAGCCAGACACAAGAACACACAGGGTTTCTGACCACATCAGTGGAGAACAACATTATGAGGAGTCAGAAAGGAGTCACAGAGGTGGAGGAGTCAGAGAGGAGGAGGGTCACCTGTGTTTGGTTGACTGTTGGCATGAGGGAGTGCAGAGGGATGATGATGAAGGATTCTGGAGACAGCAGCACAAACAAAGACAATGTTCAAACAGCAGAAGAACAGCTGAACATTTTCACGTTAACAGACATATTAATGTATGTTTTAATAATGTTTAGCTTTTCACATCACTGTGTGTGTGTGTCACCTGATTTGAACATCTGCTGACTCATTAGCAGGTCGTTCAAACTGCTGATGTTGTCCCAGCCTGGCAGAAAGACCAGAATAGCTCCTTCCTGTCAGAAATCGAGCAGTTACAGCAGGAAGTGACATCAGCAAACACAGAAAAACAAACAGACACCAACCATGGATCCATCACACCCAGACGTCACCCAGCCCCTCTCATCCACAGCAGTGCAGCAGAGGATGACTTCAGTGTCTGGGTTTCACCCCTTCGTCCAACAGGGGTCTCCACTTCTCACTGACTGCTGTGCTGAGGAACTGCTGTTGTCCCTGGGGTGAGACTGACCTCCCAGGTGGCTCAAACAACCATCTACACACATCCTGATCCTGGTGATCATTGGATCAGAGCATGGTTTCCTCCTGTGTTTTACTATATGGACTCTGTATTCAGACGACAAAGACCTGAATTGTGCCGCAGTCAGTTTGAACTAAAAAAGACTCTGGGATGAAGAGAAGAAACATCTTCAAGAATCCCAGACAGTCCAGCTGACCTCTACTGAACTGCCTTAGAGACCAAGCCTGACTTTAGACTCATTCTGAAGTTCGTGTGAAGGTGAGGTATTTATTCTGGATTCATTCTGATTAAGTTCTGACTTCAGCTTCAAACTCAATAATCCTAGAAATCAGCAACATTTAAACATTTAATTTTTTTTGAAATTAATGAATCCAGAATGAAACTTTCTAACTAAATTTCTTCTGTGCAGGAAATAATGTTTACTTGAGGAAATAACTCTGGACCTCCACACAGCAGTGACAGGAATCAAACCCTCCACCACTATAATGTAATATCAGGTCCTGCAGCATCACTGTCTCATCAGCACATCTGAAAAACCTGACAGAGCGCCACCTAGTCCCACTTCAGAACATGGTGAGAACAGATGGATGACTGTGTGTGTGAGTGAGTGACTGTAGCTGTAGTTGTGACGGATGGAGACGCAGCTGGATGTGAGCAGTGATGAAGACTCATGTCATCCTCTGGGCTAACGGTAGCTTTTCTGATTTAACTTAAATAATTTTGGCTAATGCATCCATCTTAGTATAAGTGAATATGAATATTCTGTTCAGTTACGTCAGAGTTTGAGCTGAAATTTGAATTTGAATCATACAACATTCAACATTTTTAAAAAGCCTGAGGCTGTGTCTCTGTGTTGGTGTAAAAAAATCCCTTCTAAGTAGATGAGGAGTCTGAGTGTTAAAGTCAGAGCTGCAAACCAGCAGCTCAGCTGACACCTATCCTCAGTCTGGTGAGGACTCATCAAACTGATGACATCCATCATCACTTCCTGTCACACTCATCTCCAACAGATTATTCACAGTACACAGTGTGAGTCGTCACTGTCATCTGTCTACTCTGGCTTCATAGCTGCACACATGCTGAACATATGCATGTCTGTACATCTAGGTCTATTATTAGCCTGAAGACAACTAAAGGTTGTCAGTCTTCAAAGGTAGCCATTTAAGCATAAACTTAGCTACAGATAACAGTAGATAAAAAGATAAAAAATGATAATAATTTTATAACAAAAGCCCATAGGTTGGAATTATCTAAAACATACTGGATTAAAACAACTTAAAGGATTATTACATTTTGGCCCAAACATCTTGGGAATGAAACAAGAAGTTCAAATCTGATGAATGAGATAATTAAAGTTAGCTAAAAATCAAGAGGCAGCAAAATCTTTGTGTCTAGCCATGAGAGGGGGCGGGACTTGGACTGAACTCACCTCTTCATTCATGACGATGTGACGAATCAGGGCCAGAATCAGGTCCAGATCAATCTTATCATTTTCATCCAACATCTGCAGAGTGGAGATGGTGTTGTCAGAGTATCTGTGGAGGACAAAGAGATGAGTTCTGATGTTCTCCTGAGGTCAGGTCACCTGGTCCTCAGACCTACAGTGGGGACTCTGTCTTAGAGACAGGAGGCTGAGCTGAAGATGAAGATACTTCACTGGGAGTGACCAGAATGGACAGAATTAGAAATGAGAAGATCAGAAGGACAGTTGCTGCAGCTGCTCTGCTCTGCTGACGTCACTGCTCTGCAGCTGAATCTGAACCCACCTGCTCCTCAGTGAGCGTTCGTAATCAGGCCAACGCTCACTGTATAGGGCCTCCTTCTGCTCCTTCTCTGCTCTGGAGTTCCGACCCTGCCAGAAACCTCTCTTCCAAGAGGAACGACGCTCCTGAGTCTTAGGACGGTACCTGCCGGACAGAGGAGGAACCATTTCACAGCAATGTCATCTGTCACTGAACTGTCACAGGTTTTTTCACTCAAAGCCCCCCGGCTGGATCATGAGTGAAGGCCATTTGTGTGTCATTGTTACCTCGTCATCTCCACTATGTCCTCCAGTAGAAACTCTTCCACTGGGAAGGTGGAACCAGGAATGTGGATTATTGGACAATTGCCTGTTAGGATGTTTGGAAGGAGAGAAATGATTGAAGAACCAAAACCACTGCAGCACCGGTGCTGAACAAAGTTAGAACGTCACACTGGCTGTTCACCAAAGTACTCGGAGAACTTCACTGCGTTGAGGGTCGCACTCATCAGGACAACCTTAAGGTCATCTCTCTGTTTTAGAAGGTCCTTCACAATGATGAGCAACACGTCGGACTGAAGGTTCCTCTCATGGATCTCATCCAGGACCAGGTGACTGACACTGGACAACAGACTGACACCAGAAGAACCAGAGAAGGAAACAGTGACAAGGACAAAACCAAAGTGTCCACAGAGAGACAAACATGAGTCCACACACACACACACACACATACTGGTGTTTGTTTCTGTGTGTGTCTGTGATACTAATGGACCACCCAGACTGTGAGAGGAATGAAGAACAAATTTAAGGGGAGGATTAGGAAGAGAGGAGAAGGTGAAGCAGAGACTCACGGGTCGGAGCGAAGCCACTGCAGAATAATGCCTGTGGTACAGTAAAGGAGCGAACCTTGTTTCCGGGGTAACCGGCTGAAAGACAATAGCAGATGGAAGACAAAGATTTCTGTTGAAAATGAACATTAACTCAAACCAGATCAGTATGGTTCTGGTACCATGGTTTGAGAACCACTGGTGGACAGGATTATTATGGTTATGTCTTTGTTTTCACACTGATCCTCCAACATTGACCTGACTCTGGTCCGCACTCCTGTCATCATCAGCCTGAAGAGTTTTTAACATAAACTAAGAGGTCAGAGGTCAGACTAAACACATTTTTGTGTAACTGATTCTCAGCTCACTCTCTGCTCTTTGACAGAATGTTTTCAGAATTACTGACACATCTGCAGCAGCAGCAGCAGCAGTAACACAGCGCTGAACTCAGTGCTCAGATGAATGTGGCTCTAAACTCTGTGGTACCATAATGTTCTGTCATAAATAATGTAATAATCTGCAGACGGGTGGAGGATGAAAGGCTGGTACCCAGAACAACAGCAGTGAAAAGTCATTAGTCGTAACGACAAATGGAGCAGGAAAGAACTCCTCAGACTCAAACACATCAAATGTTGCTGCATAATTAACATCAGCGTGTCGTGACGACTCCCCTCGTGAGGACGAATAAACCAACAGGAATAACAACATAAAATACCACGAATAAAGTCTGAGGCTGAGTCTGGAGCTGCTGGAGCCGAGGCTTTAAAAGTAAGAACTGGACCTGGAAAAACACATCACCAACTTTTCACTCAGGAAGTGGTCAAAGCACTGGCCTCCAACACAGGCTCCTCTGTGTGGAACTCATTCAACACTAACTTTAATTGACGCTAGTTATTTTTGCCTTTTTAGCTGGAAATCTCCCATTTCAACACTAAGTTATGTCATAGGTCAGAATTCAGTGACCTGTTCACACCACAGAGCAGCTTCCTGTTGGACAATGTTCTCAGATGCCAAGGAGAAAAACACAAGTAAAATGACAGAACTGATATAGAACAAATCTAAAGGTCAGGAAGGTCAAGGTGACCCTAACAGTGAACAGCACATTTTCTCTCACACAGTCAGCTGTGGTGATAAAACTGTTCTTTTAGTAGGACTGTACATGTGAACTGTAAAAGCTGGAGTCTGCACCTCTGTGACCTTTTCACCTTTTTAAAGAAGCTCTGCAAAAACTTCTATATTGACAGAAGTTATCGATCACATGGGTCGACAGCTGTTGACATGACTTCTCTTCTCAGTGATAGATAAAATCTTGGTTTTCACGCATTAACATTAGTCTGAAATACAGCTAAAAGTTCATCAGCAGCTGTTAAAGTTATAGAAGGCAAAAACATTTGTATAAATAAAGGACAATTCCCTCATTATTCAGTGTCAGCTGCAAAACTGTTACAGTTGTAATCAGAACTCTGTTCCTTCAGACTTTTGTACCTCTGCAGACGGATCTGGTACCCACAGGAGTTTCCATTCCCCACACTCTCTGCTCTCTCTGCAGCCACACGTTCTGCCACCTGAGAGAAACACACACACACACTGAGTGAAGTCACATGTAACAATTTAAAAAACATCACAACGCTGCAGCAGCAGGAACGTACAGAGATGGCGCTGATACGTCGTGGCTGTGTGCAAACCACCCGACACGTGGAGCCCACTCCTCTGCTGATGTAGTCGTCCAGAATAAACTGAGTGACCTGGGTGGTCTTCCCACAGCCCGTCTCTCCGCTCACCACCAGAACACGGTCACTCTGGATCAGCTCCACCAGCTCCTGAGGAGCAGAGGACAGAGACAAGTTTGGGTTTTTTTCATTGAGGATCTGAGGACCTTTGGAATCGATGAAGGGGATTTTTTTTTTTAAACTCACCTCTCTTTTCCCATAAGACGGCAATTTTTCTCTGAATTTCTGCAAAACAATTTCAACAGTAGAATTAATGTTGGACTTTCTTTGTTGAGCCCTGGTTTGTTTTCAGCTTCCAGCAGAACCTCCATCACTGAACCACTCACCAGCATCTCCCTGTACCTGGGGTCAGATCTCTTGTTTTGCAAATCCTGCCTTAAATCGTCGTCCAAAGAACAGTCTCTGACTACTTCCTGGAAGAGGAATTCAAGGTCTTTGTCATTGTATCTATGTCTCTCCTTCTTCTCCTTCTCCTGCTGCAGTTCATCTTTGTCATCTTCTTCCCAGGTGTCTGGAGGTTCTTCTTTAACTGCTGGAGACGATTGTCTAAACAAGAACATTTAAGTTTTTAACAACTACGTTAGTGAAGAAGGTTTGAGTTCCAGAAGAAAAACTGCTGCTGCTGCAAAAACATTTTATAACACGAGTAACCAACACTGTGGATGTGACCATTATTCTGACTTCTTGAGGGGCTCATAAGTCAGTCAGTCAGTACTGCTGTGTAACTGTTGTTGCAGCAAGAGACAGTTTTGGTAGGATCTCTTTTTTTTACCCATGTGATCTGAGAGCTGTCTTCCTCTGGTCTAAACCGAGTTCTTTATCATCTTCCTCAGATTTTATCTTCCTTTTCTGTTCTTCAGGCAAATCTCCATCAAAATAACTGCATACACAGACGATGAACAACATTAGAGGACTGTTTATGTCTGAGCAGAAGATTTAGATCAGACAACGGACCTCCAGTCCTTTGACCCAGAAGCTCGGCTGTCCCTGAGGCCTCTGTCTGTAAAAGGCTGCTCACGCTGCACAGAACTGAGCAGCTTGGTGATGTGCTGCTCTCTGGCCTCGTCCATCTGGACCACAGCTCTCTGAAAACAGACACAGACAGACATTACTACCCGGGAGCTTCAAAAGAGGTTTTGACGTAGTTTTTTAGAAACTGAAATATATTTCCAATGGTTCGTAGAAGAGTCTGTGACAGCAACCACAGAGAGTCCTCCCTCCACCTCACCCCATCTCCCAAATCCCTGTGACAGCTTCAGGGACGGAGCTCAAAACTGCATGTAACTTGTACTCTTGTATTCACTGGTACAGTAAAGACCACCCAGGACGAGAATGGACTTCTGGTTCTCTACATCTTCTTTCAATACCAGAAGAAGCAAAAAGTTGTAACTATAGTACTATAAAGTACTACCTGAAGGATTTGTTTAGCTGAATATGTTCTAATGAAGATTAGCTAAAATTTTAACACTAATACTAATTCTGAAAATACAAACTATACAAAGGTCTTTTTTTATTTTTTATCGGTCAATGTCTTGGTACATATCTGTGAACAGATTTCTAATTGTATGTAAATAAAATATATAGCTAAAAATGTGCAGCAGCATCAGTACCACTACGTACCGCCCTCCTGTCAGCCTGTCTCCTCCTCACTGCTCCGTATCTGGCGTACCACATTCCGATCTCCCGACCCTTCAGGTGCGGAGGAGGCCGATCAACCCCTCCTCCTCTGTCCCGCCTCTCTGTGCTGCCATCTCTATGTCCTCCTCCTCCTCTTCCTCCTCTCCGTCCTCCTCGCCCTCCTCTGTAACCGTAACTCATATTCAAAGACCTGAAAGAAACGCTGTTTAAACAACCTCTTCTGCAAACAGAGAACGTCAGTGACGTCACCGACAACAATGACGGTTTGGCTCCTGCCACAAAATAAATGTTAAACGTCGGGAATTGTATTTAAATAGAAAATACACCCAGAACAGTGCAGAGCCTGCGTTTTTAAAGCCAAGCTGTAAGAATTATAAAATGCGGCTCTGTCGCAAAATAAATACGTCACCACGCTGCGCTCCAATATGACGTCATGTGTATAGCCATAGACTTCATTAGAAAGACAGAAAGAGACAGAAACTGTAATGTTAATTTGTTGGCTTTAATACGAAGATTGTTTATTGAAAAATATTCTTTTAGCAGTTCCACATTAGCCCCAAGGGAACAGACTAAATACTAATACATTTGAATCCTTTGTGTTATATGTTGTTAACTAGTCTTCAGCTGCACCGAACTATTTTAACTGGCCCTGAGCCTCACATACAGTCTGTGTATTTGTTCATTTCAAAGGGAAATAAGATAAACTATGGGTGAAACTAAGCAGAGATGAAAGGCAGATGATTAGAAAACAGTGAACAGTGACCTTCCTGAGGTTTTTTAGGCTCAGACACATACAGAGAAAATCCGATGTTTGATGTGTGAACCTGCTCCTCCTCTGGTTTTCAGTCATGGCTGCACATCGTTTCCCTTCACTCAGTGCTGAACCTGTGATGCATATAAACTCTCTGACACTAATGACTGGATCAATGGGAGAAAGAAAAGATTAAAGAAAACCTCTACATAAAAAGAGGCATGCTCTCCTGCCCCGCCCACTCTCTCTCTTGTAGCCATGGCTCACATATTTAATAATGTATGATGTGCTGAAGTAAAAGCCTGGAGCACAACCATTGAAGCTGGGTATTTGATGTAGACGTACCTGAGTCTCGACCTCTCAGGCAGCATACTGGGATCAGAGAGAACTATGAGAGAGAGAGAGAGAGAGAGAGAGACCCTGTTCTGTGGCAGCGCTGATATTATTGTCATTTTAGTTGTTACATAGAACTGTCTGCTAAAAGACAATTTTGTTTTTTCCCCCGTGACTCATCCCAGATCCACCTCAAATGGCCAGTAGATGGCCCTCCCTGGATCCCACTAGTTTATCCGTTACTTCTGAGCTTCTACAGAAAATCCGTAACTGTGAAAATGAACCCTCAGTTTCCTTTGCATCTGTCTTCAGCCAGTTCTAAACCTGCTGTGTTGACATACTGCAGAAAGACATCAATTTCTGGAGTTGATCATTTATGCAACACGTTGAACTTTATATGACTTTATATTTTATTATTTATTTATTTATGCTTGTGTAAAATATCAGCAAAAACTTGTCACAGGACACTTCCTAGTTTCAGTAACAGTAAGAAGTTCTGAGCCATGAAGTGGAACATCTGTCAAGAGGGAACTCTTGTCCAGTATTATAATCTTTAATGACATGTTAGCAGCTATGGACAGAGTTAAAGAAAAATCTGAAAATACCGGTGCAACAACAACACATGTAACAAACATTAATATAACACACATACGTCTGGTAAAGGTGGAATTCAATAATCTGACAAAATATTTTCAATGATTAACTACAACATTTTTAATGTTAATACAGAGGTTTCCAACCATAGAGCAATTCTGGGCGAAAACATATTTTTAGTAGTTATCAGAGTGAAAACATGTTTTATTTTGAAACATAGACTAAATTCTCTCCTATCACAAACAACTGTAAGCTCTTGAGAAAAGTCTTGTCAAAATAGAACTCTATGCAGAGCTTCTTTAAAACGATGAAAATGTCACAGAGTAGACAGAGGATCAGCCTTTAGCTTTAAAATAAAAGAAGGTTCCATTTGCAGTCCGACTGAAAAGAACAGTTGTATCACCATGGCTGACTGTCATCTGACAAAGATGATTTTTATCTACAGTCGTTCAGGGCAGTACATTCGTATGCTGTTGGCACTGTCAGTCACGTCAATGTGCTCCAGGCTGGAAAACTAATCTACATCAGAATCCACCTCCTGCAACACTTCTACTGCCTCCTACACCTCCTCCTACACCTCCACCTCCTCCTCAGTCAGTTTGACTGTTACCTCCTCCTCAAAAGCCTTATGTAAAACAATCTTTAGTCTCTGAGATTATCATAACAACAATACATCTATGGGTATGTAGCAGCACATGGTAATAATATTAATAATAATTATATTATGTCTGTCTCTCTCACTCTCTCTTTCTCTCTGTTTCTTTCTCTAACAATGGACCACTGGGACCACTGGCCTGGGTCAGATCCCCCCCGTCCTTCCACACAGCTGACTCACTGCTGACATCATCCCTGGAAGCTGGCATATGACATCACAGTGGCCCCTCCTCCTTTACGTCAAAGTCTGTGGTGGAGAGAAGCTGCTGTGGGATGAATACAGATGAAGAAGTCTGTTTGTTTTCTCCTCTGTCAACTGATCCACCTCCTGGTCCGTCTCCTCCTACAGTCCCAACAGGACCAACCAGAGGAGGAGAAGGGGCTGCAGTTCAGTCACTCTGGGAATATGTCATGATGAAATGCATCCTTCCCAGAGGTACCGTAAGTTCTGAACCAGTTCTGAAAACAGATCTTAAATATTATGGACGAAGTTTCAAAGCTGATCAGACCTATGTCTGGATCAGGAAGCAGCTTCCTGATCCAGATTCTTGATCTGGATCTGACCTCCACAGAGTTGCAGACATCCACGTAGCTGTGAGTGAACAGTGAGGACTAACATCTGCAGAACCCCTGGGCCATGCTGGGCCACTAGTTCTACATTATCACTACATTCAGGCTGTGATGTCACCTCACTGCTGAAGAGTATGAGGTGAGATGTCATTTATGATGAAGGTGAGGAGGAAGAACTGGTAGTAAAGTAGGAAGTTTCTTTGGAGGAGGAAGCATCCACAGAACATCTAGTAAAATGTGTCACTTTTTAGGGAACAGATTAAAAATCACAATTAAATCCACATTAACTTTTTTTTTTTTAATTCTAACAGTTTATGACCAAAAAGCTTAATCTTCTAGCCATGTCCTTCAGATCAACTCAGAATATTAACAGAATGAGGAAGATCTGTTGGTGTACCCGCTGAGGTTAAATGGACCTTTTGGACCAAACACTGTGATGGTCCAACACTAAGACGAAGGTGAAAAATGTTTTTCCTCTGGCAGTGTAAATGATGCTTCAGCCCTGGTCACCTCTGGGCACTAATCCACTGTGATTGGCTGATCCACTACAGGAACTGTCTTCAAAGAACGGACCACTGGTCTGAATGGACCTTTGGTAAATCCCAAAGTTTTAAACTCATTAGTTCTTTTCTTTCTAAAGAAGATCGCTTAATAATCTCTGGGAACGGCAGGCAGTTACAGCATTTTTTGGCTAAAAGGACTTTGAGAAAGACCAAGAGAAGGCATTTGGTGAAGGTGAACATTCAGAAACACTTCTCTTCTTCGTGGACATTCCATTGTGGTCAAGACTCCAGCAGTCACATTAAGACCCTGTGTTTCCCTAACCCTGGATCTGTGTCGCTAAAATGACCTCAAAGAAGGAAGTGAAGGAAGTGACAGGGGGGTCCGTTGGCAGTGAGGCTTCAATAGATTTTTCTCACTCCTCTCTATCAGCTGACGACTTCCTGTAGGCCTCGTTCAGCATCTGGATCTCTTCGTGGTACCCAGTGCTGTCCTGCATCTGTCTCCGGCTGTTCTGTCGGTGAGCCTCCACGGTGTCGGGAATGCTAATGTTGATGTTCTCCCTCTCAGGATTTCCACCACTGGGGATCAGCAGGGAGTAGGATGCCGTCTCGCCCAGGTCACAGGAGACAAAGCGATTCTCTCTCCGGGAGTATCGCAGCGATGGTGACCGAGTGTGGGCGGAGGACTGGCTGATGTTTGACACAATGGAGACGCTGTCCATGGCCTCCTCATTGTCACAGATCTCCAGCACTTCTAGGTGGATCTTCACATTGGTGTCCCCGACTACAGCTCCCATTCCCATTCCTACCTGCATCTCTGCACTGCTGATGCTGATGTTTCTGATCTGACCTCCTGCTGCTGCTGCTGCTGCTGCTGCTGCATCATCTGCACTGGGCTCATGGCCCACAGATTTAGAGCGAAACACCTCCACCTTAAGGGCAAGAAAAGGAACATTTTGTTAACTTTTGTCTTTACTCTTTACATGGAAACAGTCTGAGCCTCAGGTCAGTTATTGTCACGAGCTTCAACAGTTCTGTGGAGCTGTTGTCCATCAACAAATACACCTCATAATTTAAAACCAAACCTCCCCTAACTTCCTGTCAAATGCAGTAGCAGTTTTTCGGTCTTCTTTATTCCATTTACAGCTCTGTCACATGACCCTGGCTCACCAGTTAGACTGAGAGCTACAGTAGGGTCTCCTGTTATTGTTTATGGCCTTGTCCTTTTAATTACACATCACACAGTAAACTGAGCCCATGTTTACAGCTGTCTTCTCTGTGTGTGTTGCAGGTTTGGAAGGAAAGGTCTGAGCTAGTCTTTGCTGCAGGAGAACCTTTGAAGGTTAAGGTATGTGACCTCTGGTCCATTCACTGCAGTAGTATATGCAGGATTCTGTTAATGTGTATGAGTCATGTTAACCTATGTTTTAAGTGTACAAAAAACTACTTTGGACTGTAGGACTTTAGAATTAACTTTTGACATTTGCACATAACGGTTTGATTAATCACCTAAAAAAATGTAAAACTTCAAAACACCTGAAATATTTCTGAGTAAAATGATCTGAGTAATTATGGGATGTAGAATCACAGGCCAACAAGAAACCTGACCTGAGACCACAGATCATGTGACCTCAGGTCTATTTTACTCTGGGGTTTATAGTCAAAGAAGGTGAGTAGGAATATTTGACCTTTTTAGCAGTGTTGGGGGAGATTCTCAGCCCATCACTGCTGACCTCGTAGGTAGACAGGGAGAAGGTCTTCCCCGTGGGGGCTTCCAGAGACACAGTGCCCTGGAAGGCACACAAAGGAACCGACAAACCACCTGACGAACGCTGCAAAGACAAAACAACAAGTCTGGTTCAGCCACAACCTGAAGTAAAGGGCAACCTTTTGTTTTTGTTTTTGAGTCAAGACCACAGCAGCTGTGGTCGGTGAAGCAGATTGAACGGGGTTCAGTTCTAACCCAACCCTGCTCCTGAGTAACTGTTGGAGCTGCTATGACCTCCTGACGCTTTAATTGCTGAGCATCCCCTACAGGAAGAGCAGGGTAAAAAAAAGAAATTCAGTCCTGGGCTAAATATAAACCTTTCTGTACACATTTGTGCAAATGTTTTCCATATTTGTGTTGGAGGTGAAAGGTCACAGCACAGAATGAATGGTCGTAAAATCTGCTGAGAAAGATTCTTCTTGTCAGCAGTAAAATCAATGCCTCAGCTGTTTACACAGCTAACTGCTGTTGGCTTCCGTGATGAATTCAGATTCTAAATTTAGCTAAAATGGGTAAAAATACACTGAACCCCAAGGTAAGAAATGTACAGTACACTAGTGCAATATTGTATATAAAAACATGCAGTAACATCAGCACTGTGTGTACAATCTTCATGTATGTTAAACAGTCCAAGGATATTAGGTTAATGTTCGCTCTTAAATGATCATAGATCTGAATGCTAGTGGGAATGGGTATTGTGTGGTTCATTCAGTACAACTGGCAGATGTACTGTTGAGAACATGATTTGTCTTTTATATTTTTTTCTCGGAAGGCTGAAGCAGTTCCAGGTCCCTGCATCACTGATCAGATCTGTGGTTGTCCTCAGGGAGAGGACATGTGCTCACACCAGCTGCTCCCTTACTGTCAATAAAGTCACACTGAGGGTAAAGATGTCTTTAAGATCTAATCTATTTCCTCCCATTGGAGACCAAGGCAAAGGAGGAAGAAGAGGAGGAGAAGGAGGAGGAGAGACAACATAGATAGATAACAGCTCCTAACAAAGCAGAGAACCATTTCTGTCTGTTTCATGATTGTCTGCACCTTTATCTCTTCCTTTAATAAAAGAGAAGATGAAAAAAGACAATTAAATAACGGAAATAGAAGAAGAACCAAAACAAAGTAATAGACGGAGAGGAGGAGAATATAAAACGAATAAAAAGAAAGACAGGATCAGTCAATGGATCAGGAAGTATGGAGGTGAAAGAGTGACAGTGGGAGTACTGTAAGTGACCCTGAGAGTGACCTTTCTGTGATTCCCTTCATCTTTTTTAATCCTATTGATTGTGACATATCTAGACATATACCTGTCTTGATGTCCTCTCTGATTTGCTGCGACACCATTCCCAGTCTGTCAGCTCCATCTTCTGACATTCCTCATGGGAAAGCCTTCTTTCCGACCCCTCGAACACAGATGCGGTGTCGTTGAGGTTTAGCTCGTGCTGAACACAGCAGATTCCATCACCGTCTCCGTGGCTCTGGTGGGGAAGTGGAGGAGAGTTGGTTGTTGCCTCCGTGTCTTCGACTGTCACAGCGTCCAACAGCAGCTCAGCATGAGAGGAGCTGTCCACATGAGACGTGGTGCTGAAGTCAAAGCCCTGCTCCAGAGCTTGAAGGCCACTGCCTTCCAGAGCGTCCAGGCGAGGATTGGAGAAATGGCAGTTATAGAGGCTGTGATAGTTTGGTCTGTCTAGAGCTGGGCAGCTGGGGGACGTGGAAGCATGGGAGAGTTTGTAGACACCACAGCCGTGCTGGACGGAAAGACTGAATTCAAACCTTTTCTTCACAGCTGAAACAAAAAAGAAAAGTAAAATAATTTCAGTCCAGAAAACTCCTGAAAGTACTGGTCAGGACAAGAACATGTGAAATATTGTCCTTGGAATTTAGAAATCCTAACTTTGACATGATAAGATGAAATACCTTAGTTCACAGAAAAGAAACTCAGAATTCCAAAGAAAGTCTTGAATCTCACAGACCAAGTTACCACATCTCAGTGTTGTGCCTGAGAAACTTTAACAACTTGAATGTCAGAAGTAAGTATTAAAAACACATATGAACAGTGAGGTGAAAACTCAGGTCAAACATGTACATCTGTTTGTACTTCTCGTACTTGAGGTTTCCTGCTCCTGGTCACGGTTGCAGTTGATGAAGCAGCCACAGGGCAGGTGGATCCAGCGCTCGGACAACATGAAGAGAGGAGTGACTGCAGGAGCCAGCAGGGTCAGGAAGAAGCTCAGAGTCTCCAGGGAGGAGCTGTGGGCGTCGAGTGCGTGACGAAGCAGCACCAGAGTCTGAGTGATGGGAGAGAAGAAACCACTGATCACTGATCTAACATGTCAGTGCACACACACACACACACACACACACATACATATACATACAGTATGTGACATGTTGGATCACAAATACTAATGAGTTTGTCAGACTTGTCCTTCTTGTTTATCAGGTGGTGTGTGAGGGACAGTACATGTAAAGTGTGTGTGGCTGACCACTCAGAGAGACAGACGGGGAGCAAGAGGGCAGAGGAAGGGGGCGAAGCAGGAGCTTAAGCGCTCCTTTTCTGAAGCAAAACAAAAGTTAAGTTTTTTTAAAAAAGGGCCTGAGGTCGCACATGCGCACATCGTGGGGACGATGCACACTTCCGAACTGCACTTATGATTTGGACTTTGAACTGTCACGTTTCCAAATTTCCGGTTTTTAACATTTACAAGAGGGTGAGAATCTAAAACGACCTACAGACACTTTGAATGTGAAATAATTATTTTAAAGTGAAGATAACTGTAAAGTCGCCGGCTCACCATCATAGGCATCCACAGCACGACTCTGAGCACCGCCAGGATCATGGAAAAGCGTCTCTGGGCAAAGAGCACCGGGGTGTCTCCATCAGCAGCGTCTTCAGCAGCAGCAGCTCCCGGCTCTCCACTCTTCACTGTCCTACACAAACTCGGGCTCAGCCGCCTGTAGAAACTTTTATCCAGACTGTCCTCGGAGAAAGCCTGCAGGCGGCAGAGCGGTGCGGTGCCGCTCACCTCCACGGAGCGGCGGTATAGCAGCGCCGTGTGCGGCTCAGTGGAGCAGAGCAGCTGGTAGGTGAGCGGCAGGAAGAAGATGAGGAGACCGCAGAGACAGACAGAGTAGAGGGAGAAGAGTAGCAGGATGTAAAGGCTGCTGCTCTCCGGGAAACAGCCCAGAGACGCGTGCGTAAAACTACCCCAGCCACACAGTGGCAACACGCTGACGCACAGGCTCACTGCCCAAACCGCTGCCACGGCCCACAGCACCGACCCCCGGCATCGCAGCGTTGACCCGAACCCCAAACCGAACCGTTTAGTCACGTAGAAAGTGTAAGCAGCGATGAGACAAGCCTTCATGTTGCTGGAGAGACCCTGGAACACGTAGAGGAGTCCGGACAGTGTACAGAGGCTGCCGCTGCTGCTGGATCTGCTGGAGCTTTCTGCTCCTTCTGCTCCACCTGCTGTCCCCCTGTCCTCAGGCTCCAGTTGCAGCAGCAGGAACAGACACAGAGGAACCACACTCAGCAGGTCATCCACGGACATGGAGGCCACTATGACGCACAGAGGGTTTTTCCTCCTGGTTTTGAGGAGACTCAACAGAGATGAAACTCCTCCGACCACCGTGGCCGCAGCGATGGTGACGCATAAGCCAAAGAGGAGCAGTGGGAGCTGTGTCCCGGACGTGCGCTCCGGCGTAGCCGTGGACAGGCTGTGGTTAGGCGTCGACATTTTTAAAAATATTCTTTCTTTGGCTTTTGTCTTTTTGTTAAAAAAAAGTCACATCATGTAGATGTGATGGAACAGTTGAAAACACACACTCACACTCACTTACTCACTCACTCACTCACACACACACACACTGTGCAGAACTCCAGGCTCTGTCTCCTTCCATCCAGACCGACTCCCCAGTCCGGTTCTACAGAACATCTACTATACAGCTGCTGAATTGCGCGCTGACGTCACGTATTAGTGCAATCACGTGTATGACGTCGAGCAAACCCACTACTGCGCTGAGTGTTTTGTACTTGGTTCTAACCGTGTATTTCTTTAATACCTTATATTGTTATTGTGGAAGAGTGTGTGAAAAATACAGGAATATTTCAAACGAGAGAAACCAAACAGTAGAACACACCGAGCAGTGATATGAAGGCAGAATAAAAGAGAACATTACAACCACCTGTGAATGACAGGCGAGAGAGACAGAGAGACAGAGAGAGACAGAGAGAGACAGAGAGGGAGTATGTGTGTGTACTGCTACTGCCTGAATAAGTGTGTGATCATTTCTCCAAAACAAGGCTGTGGTGTGAGATCACTGTGATCTGGTAGATCTTACATCAGTGTCATCTTTAACAGTGAGTCCTCACAGACAGATACGCTGTGTGTACTGATCCATACAGGAGGACCAACAGTTAGAGTTGTTGTTTGTTTGTAAGAGTAGTTTGTTTTAAATGACATCTCTGCCTTTAACCTATCACCTTAGAGAGCAGGGGTCAGCTCAAGTGAGCGTCCAGGGAGCAGTGTGTGGGGCTACCTCAGTGTAACCTTATGGCTGGTGTATTCCAAACTGCAACCTTTCAGACAAAAGTACACTTCCTTAACCACTAGGTCACCACTGCCCTAAAACCTGCATGTGTCCTTGTCAGAAAATACAGAATGAAAAAACTTTGTTTTCTAAAATGTGTGTGTGTGTGTCCTTCTCTGTACTGCTGAAGGACTTTCAGGAGGAAGGTCATGCTTAGCTTTTTGCAGAGTCACATGATCATTCATGAACAG